TTTATTTTACCGAAGATTCCGGGGTTCCCGGAATTGATTCCGATTTCTGAAAGTTCCAAGAAAAATTCCGGGAAAAATTTCGAAATAGGCCTGGATTTTATCAGTGCTGTCGTTTTATTTTACCAAAGATTCCGGGGTTTCTGGAATTAATTCCGATTTCTTAAAGTTCCGAGAAAAATTCCGGGAGAAAAGTTCGAAATACGCCCGGATTTAGTTCCAAAGATCGTCAAATTTGATTTTTAAAAAATCGGTCAAATTACGATTAACCCCGAAATTCCGTGAAGATTCCGATTTAGGAATTTTGAAGATTCCAGGAAAAGTTTCAATTATTTGAAAAGTTGTAATAATGCGTTACTTCACCAAAGCTCCGATAAAACAACAAGCTTTCCTCATTTATTGAAAGAAGTTAAGGAATTTCCATGAGGCTGCGGTTGTGGAACTCTCCATTGAGACCCACGCCTAAACCTCGCTCTCAAGAGATATGAGTTCTGTATTTTACGTGCGAGTTTATTATTTTCACAACGACACTACAGCCTGTGTTTCATTCAAGCGCGAATAAAACATTAGAGTGCATCTGCGACGTTTTGAAAGGCAATAAATGAAACTTTCCTCAGAACGGTAGGTAAGGTTAGAAGAATATGTTGCACTTCTACGCCAGCACCAGTCAAGTAGATTTTTCTAAGCGGTATGTCCTGCTATAAAAAGTTAACGAGAATGGAAATTGAAATGGAGTTTTGATTTCTCCCGGATGTAATCGAAAAATTGAAGTGTGCAGTATGTCCCTTGTTGATTTCATTACATTTATGGGCTACTTTAAAATAGTGAACTCGGACTGGTAAATTTTATCCTTCATCCGCATTATTGATATCGTTACGGAGAGAAAATCAATTGGCGTCGTCAAAAAGGCCGGTTCTTAGCTGAGCTTTCTGTCTAAAAAATTCGAAATTTGGAAAATATGCCTATTGATAAGTATCTCAATCGAAGAAAATCATGTATAGAAATTAAAAATTTGTGGATACTTCGTTTTTCTCTGGTTCCAATTTTGGATTTTTCCTGGCTTCCTTTACTTCACACTGTATGTGATATGGAGCCAGTGCTTTTTTACCATTATGATGCTTAGGCCGTAATGGTGTGTTTTTACTCTGGACTGACTCAGAAGCTGATGATGGCATCCATCGTGTTTTTCACAGGGCAATATCAAAGCCAATGTCTTGAAAGTGAAAACCTAGCGATTGAAACCTGGCGTCCAATATAGGTTCGTTCATCGGCAAAGGATAACCAGCAGTAAGCTAATTTTAAAATTTATAGACAAAGCTACAGATAAAGAAGGCAAAGGGTCAATGGAGCGATCCTATCGCTGGAAGTGGGTGGTTGCAATGAACGTCGAGGGTAAGTTTTAGATTGATCAACGACAAAACTCAACAATAACCCTTTAATTAGTACATCATCTTTCCCCTACGCCTATAAGAACCGCTCGGCTTAACCAATAGGATCGCTCCGTTCTGTCTTTGTCTATCGTTTTGTCTATCAATTTTAAAACTCAACTCACAGAAAACGGGTCTGTGACGCACGCAACTGATCCATTCACACGGCAAAGCTCTTTTTCGATTTGTGGCGCCAGCGATCTGGACCGGCCGAATCTGCGTGTCGCTAAACGGACATTTCGTCGCCTGCGTACTTTTACCCGCGCCTGCGTGCACTCCGCAAAGAGGGAGGGGGGAGGATCTCGCCGACAAATTTGAATGATCGATGGAGGAAGTAAAAGTTGTACGGATTTATTGAAACCGGTTGGAGAAGAATTGTGAGGATGTTGAACGAAAACTCACTGACCGAGCCTCAGGCACATGCACCGGCTTCAAGTCACTCGACGGATTGTCAAATAGGGCGGAAAGCCCTTCTTATCACCTGTAAAATAAGAAGGTTTAACTGTGTAAATTGGCAACACTGACCTCCAATGCTGCCGTTTCGTGTCAAAATGTCCCTATTTCCTACAGTTTTGTACGAGGAAATTTCGTGTGTTGTTCCGAAATTGGCAGAAGTGCCGGTCACTTGTCCGGTCGATTGAATCATTGTGAAACCGGCCGGTTTAAGGATCATAGTGTCAACATGCCACCGGTTACACTCTGGGGCACTGCTGCCATCAAACGGGCTGACCGCTACGTTTTCTTGTATTTTTTTTTTATGTAAAATGGTTCCTGCGTGTTCTGGCAAACCTGCGTAAGCTTGTCTCGGTGGCCAAAAGTCTCTTCTGCGTGAAATCTTGTTGAAGTTAAAATGTTGAGACGACGCGTTTTGACGAAATATGATCGCGAAGTTTACGTGCACGAGGGTGATATTTTCAGGCCTAATTTTGGAAAGTATAACTTTACTGTGTTGTCGGTAATATTGTAATGATAAATTTAAATCCAGGCCTCAAAAAAGACACCCTTTGGAGCCTGGTGTCCAATTTTTTCAGTTGGATAAAATGCATTCTTTGACTAAAATTTCGACCAAATCAAACAAAACTTGTATTTTACCAGATAAAACTCATGAAGATATTATACCATTTTTTCTACCTCTGCGTTAAAATCTCCATCTTGCCATGAATATAGATCTTGGAAAAGCTCATACGTTGAAACAAACTGCGACTACTTTCTGAGCTTAAAGACTCGGCATTTTTTCTACCTCTGCGTTAAAGTCTCCGTCTTGGCGTCAAGATGGTAACATGTTTCACTCCATTCACCAATCACTGGTGACCGATTGCCGATATTTCCCCATTTGAAGTTAAGGTAAAGAATCCATTATTCAGGTGTTCGTTGCAAACATCCTGTTTATCAATCCGTTTCCATAGGTTTAATGGTAGATAAATCGATATATCGCAAGGCGCTTGCCCCGCCATTGTCACCAATATGGTCTTTTTTAGGAGAAATATTAGCCAAACGACAAATTAAGATTATTTGGGCCCACAGCTTCGGTGTTTTTTCTACCTCTACGTTAAAGTCTCTATGTTGGCGTTAAGATGGTACCTTATTTATTTCATCAACATGGTCGTTTTCAGCCAAGATAAATTGAAGAACTATTCTCCTCTCTTAGCGCTCTCCCTGGTCCCATCCTCCTAATTATTCGAAGCCATCAAGACAATTCCCTCACCCTCAATTATAGTCTTTGCCCCTGATTAGCAATGCTGATCGCAACGAAAAAGGGAAATTCGCAATACAACGAGCGGAAGCGTCAAATCAGGTTAGAGACAAGCTTCGTGACTGCAAAAACGATACACCCTTCTGCAGACGGATTTTTTGACCTTGCTCTTGATTTAATCCTCTCACTGGTCTGGCTAATCTACATGCTGCCAACTCGGACAAACAAATTTTCTACGGCACATAGCGCTCTTTAACTTCAAGAATACGGAGTCTCAAATCATAACTCTTTTATCCACTATTCATTTGTAGCGATTCAATCCTCAAGTTTTATCGATTTACGAAATAGCTCACGAAATAGCTTTTATATTTTTGATTGACCAATCGGTTTGTAATTCAAATTGGCGGGGTTTTTTTTTTCATTTTTTAGCTCATTTCTAGGAAATTCTAAGTTCTTGGTATACTTTTATCCCTTCTTGGGATGGCAACAACAAGGACATACTTGCAAACGCTCCGAGTTCACAAGAATCGAATTTAATCATATCCAGATCAACGTAGGAAAAGAGATTTGATGTTATTTTCCTCTAAGAGTCTGGATGCTAGAGATAAAGTTCAATAAGCACTTCCTCATGATTTTACTCAACTTTGAGTTTTCCTCTGGAACCATATTTTGACTTGTTCAGGTTAAAATTACTGTTGGTTTGTCCTCTTCCAAATTTGATTTGGTTCCTTTCCATTACAGTTCCGTGCATGCAGTTAAAATCATCTTCCAATATTAATACAAGAAAATTGTCTATTTTGGCAACAAGGCTTGGACTCATATAATGACTTGTTCAGCTAAAAATTACTGTTGGTTTGTCCTCTTCCAAAGATTTGGTTCCTTTCCATTACAATCCCATGCAGTCAAAATCATCTCCCAACATTAATACAAGAAAATTGTCTATTTTGGCAACAAGGCTTGGACTCATATAATGACTTGTTCAGCTAAAAATTACTGTTGGTTTGTCCTCTTCCAAATTTGATTTGGTTCCTTTCCATTACAGTTCCATGCAGTCAAAATCATCTTCCAACATTAATACAAGAAAATTGTCTATTTTGGCAACAAGGCTTGGACTCGCGGGGGAAAAGTAACGTCTGCTTCTGCAAGTCTAAACTTAAACTCGTTCCCGGCACGCGTCAACTTTCTTGCTCCGCCAGTGAAGTTGCACTAACCCAGTTCAGTCCCATCCGCTAATTAATTTGCCTAAGACCGTCACGTTTCCACCAGGAGCCTGAGACACGCTCTCCAAATAGGTTATGTCGGTGCAGAGAAGGATCGTGGATGGGTTGCAAATTTCTCTGCTTAAATCCTACTGAAAATCCGGGAAAATTTTGGAGAAACGCAGCACTCAACAGAAATTTTGAAAAACAAGCCCGGTTCTTAGAAGTTAAGCCCTGCATAGACGATCAAATTCCGAACCAATTCCGATCAAAGTAGACATGCTGATGACTGGTGGTCACCATCTACCATCAAATTTTGACGGGCCGCACTTTTTTGTTCAAAGTAAGAACAGAACGGAGTGCCACCATTCATCATTTCCTGCCACAGGAAATATTTCTGCCAAGTTTTCATTTTAAAATGAAGCAAATTAATGAGTTTAAGACTGATGACTCCCGACACTTTGATTCTACTTTGATCGGAATTGGTTCGGGAATTTGATCGTCTATCGAGGCCTCCATAGCAAAAAAAGGAGATAAAACTGAAAATTGAATGTGTCGTTGCATTCTCAAATTTCCGAGCTTTTGCGAAAATCGCAAATTTTCTTGGTATACCAGAATATTTTCCCCGATGGTTTTTCTATTTCTAAATCTATCACTAATTTTCCCGTTCATGATTTGTTGCAGATTATGTTGATACGGGCGGGGATTTTGGCGGCATGTCTGTTTATAGCGAGTGCACAGAAGGAGCCTCGGAGGGAGGTGGACCTGGTGACGGAACCCAGGCCCGGGCAGGAGTTCGTCCATGTTCACGCCTCCTCAGGCCCCTCCAAACCAAATAAACACTACATAAAAGGTAACTGTTTTCATCTTTCAACTTCTCGTACCCAGCTCCCGTTCTCGTTCGTAAAATATAAGTACAATATCTGTATTAAGCGTCCAGCTCACCTTCAAACTAGGGGCTTCACAGAGGTTCATCGATGGAGCTATTGACTGTTGCCTTTCAAAGATCGTCGGCCCGACGATCTTTGAAGGTAACCGATGTGTTCGGGATACATCACAGATCAGATCTTGAAATTTTCAAGGAATTCCGTTCAGAAATGGCTGAGAAATAGAAAAACTGGTGCCAGTATGAGAGCCTCAGTTTGAAAGTGGGCTGGACGCTTTAGACATGCAGAGATCTAAGGTAGGAAAATGGACCTCGCGGTGTTCATACTCCCTATATTGAAGTTAAAGCGGATGTTTTAGATAAATTCATATAATGTGGGCAAGGGAAGCTGGAGCGCCTTCAATTTTTTGCATATGACACGGATATCCATCGAACACGAATAGTTGCATCTAGGCGCTAGTGTCAGTGACGCATATCAATCGAATGTGCTTTGTTTTACTTCGTCATGCTACAGAAGAGCGCCGTGGTAATCATACTGAGACGGTACGCAGGTTATTCTGATTCAGTAATGATTTCCCGATAAACAAGTAAATTTTCTCATTTGAATTTTTTACAATATTGAGTTACTCACTTGCTGTAACTCATTTGAAAATTTAAAAAAAAATGGACAGTGGTCTTCAAAGGAGAACCAAGTGACAGCAACAGGTGCCAAATAGAATGGGCCAAACTAGGAACTTCGGAGAGGGGAGGGGAGAGAAAATCATTTTATCTGGAGGGATCTGTATTGGCGGCACAGGATGACATTCTATTAAAAACGTCTGGGAGACTCTTGCAGCTCTAAAATGTTTTTTGTACAGTTGTTCGAGAAACTAGCTCTTAATCTAAGATTGGTAAAATAATTTGGTTCATGACGTCACCCGGAGCTCATTATCTACCTAGTAAGTCAGATGACTATTGCTCGCGTATAATGGAGCCCTTGCAAGTGTGAGGAATTTGCGGTTTAATTTCTGATTCTTATGTAAAATTTCACAAGAAAGACGATGGTGCTACTGGTTTTCTCAGAAATCAACAGGGTTCCAAAAAAAAAAAAAAAAAACTCCTGAAGTTGAGGCCATTATAGAGGGGATATCCCACGCTAGAGAGTCCACCTCTACATCACGACAATCTGTCTATGCAAAGATAGGTAGAAAATACATTAACAGGGTTGCCACTTCATTCGGGGACTCGAAAACTGAAAACACGTCAACCCTTCTCATGTATTGGCTCTCTATCTTTGCATGGAGAGTTTGACTAGATACAGATGTGGACTATTAGGGTAGCGTGGGATATCCCCTCCATCACAGCCTCAACTTTGAGAGCTTTTTTTTGAGCTTCGAAGTTGATTTAAGAGAAAACTAGTGGCCCCTTAATGTTTCTCGCGAAATTTTACGAAGAAATAAGTACTTAAATTGCAAATTATTGTCAGAGCAATTCTTGCATTCTTGCAAGAGCTTCATTGTCCATAAAGAAGTCTTAAATCCCCGAACGTAAAAGTTTCCACTCTGTCACCAAAAGACTAGTGGAGGGTCCCTCTTCTTCATCTCTGGCGGTAAGCATCTTTTGCGAAGCGTTGATTTCAAGTTGACCTTTGTTGGTGTTTCAGGGGTGCAGGGCGACTCGAACGCGGGCGAGGTCTCGTGGGTGGCGCCGGTGAAGACGAAGCTCAAGTCACCCTCGATCGTGAGCCCGAAGAAAGCGCAGGCGGCGTCGCCGGTAGAGCTGTCGCCGATCGCCCCGGCCAAGGATAGCCGACTCCTCCGGCTCACGTCGTACCCGGCGTCGCCGCAGGAAGCAGCACCGTCGCTCGACGAGGCCCACGACTTCGCCAGGCACAACATCACCAGAGGTAATTAACCTTCTCCTCCTCATCGCACCAGCACCGGCCCGCCCGCCGTTTATTCCTCCTTGCGAGCCGCGTGTCGCCCGCCCGCCCGCCGCCGCCACGGCGTTGCCGCGCCAAAGATCGCGCGTTTGCGGTAAAACGTTCGCTAGCGGAAGGAGGAGTATTTTTATGGGTGCTACATGGCCACCAGAGGGATCTTTACTGATTGACACGACCATCTTGAGCTCCATAAAGCTCTTAGGTTAAAAAAAAAAGAAGAAAAGATGAAGAAAACGACATTTATACTGTTTCTAAAATAAACTGGAAATTTCTGTCTCTCACACGGAGAAAAATCCATAGTTTTATAAACCAATTAGTGGTCCAAATGGAACACCACCAATAGTCGTAAATGAATTAATGATTCTCGGTCTGTGAACCAAGGTTTATTGTATCATACTAAAGTATATAAATGTGGTGGTGCAAGGTATATGTGCTATTATTATATATTTCGTTTACTACTATTAGTAGTGTTCCATATGAACCACCATTTGGTTTATAAGCGATAACTTTTCCTCAGAGCATTGCAAAATGTAGTTAAACTCTGTAGGTCAACGCCTTCCTTTACTCCGGTGAAGGCGACAGCGTTGGAGATATGCATAGTAATAAGGAAAATCAGCATGGAGAAAAGAAAACCCGCAAAATTATCAATAATCTTGGTAGGTCGACCAAACATCGGCAATTTCCGATAGTTAACAATTAAAGAAAATTCTAGTTAACCGTATTGACGATAATGTTGAAAAACTATTTTATGAATTAGCTATAATTTGACAGCGCTTGATAAAAGAATGTGGTAAAATTGTACCAAAAACAATACCATATTACTGATATGGTGAATTCTTAATGGATTTTCGGTGACGAATTAGAAATTCTGTTCATATTACCAAGTTTTATTCGCATTTGAGATCGACGAAGAATGGATTCAATGCGGGATTTGGTTAAGATATTGGTTGATTGAGGCAAAATAAGTGACCAAAATGTTGCATCTCCGTCGCAGTGAACTTTTGAGATTTCATACGTCTATTTTTCTGCCCGGGCGTTAAAGTCTCCAAGCTTACCTCTCACAGAGGCACATAGCGATCTCCCATTTGTACAAAGGGAAAAGAAATGACCGAAATGTTACATCTCCATTGCAATATACTCCTAAGATTTTATACGTCTATCTTCCTATCTAACCGTTAAAGTCTCCAAATCAATCCCATCGAATTAATGATTAAATATCCTGAGTAAAAAGCTTGATTGTCTAAAACTTGCTGAATTTTCGTGTTTCTGGACACTGAGTCAGTCTCACTCATATATCCTTGGATTGCCCCATGTCATAGTGCGTCTTTATTTCATTTATCGCAGCTGCAGTTTTTCCTATATTGCAGCCGACTATTTTCTCGATTCCCTACGCTGATTGTCGCACTAATTAAGACATTACAAATTGTTCCTCACTGAGAAATACGGACTGCGGTTTGATAGGAATGATAATTGGTCCGGTACTTAACAATCCTGTTGGTTTAACGAACCGGTGACTTTTAATTTCACGGTTGCCAACTTCTGTGATCGTTAATCTTGATTTAATTTCATCGCAGTCGCTCAAGATAACTGAGCGCTACATTTCGACGGCCGCCGCGAAAAGCCGCTGACACCCGGATCAAAATGCGTGAAGAGAGAGAGAGAGAAAATTCTGAATTCATGGATGGATATTCGGTGTTCTTGCTCCCTGCGGTGATAATTGAATCGGGCTCTAAAAGTTTAATGCAATCCTAAAAAGGCAACCTTAATCATAATAACGAAGCAAATGAGGATATAGGTTCCACACAGTCATAACTGGGATCATATTACCATGATATGGACTCATTCCGTTCGAAATATAAATCTTAGTATAGTTTTTTTGAGTGGCGTCTCTTTTCGAATGCGCGCTGGAAAAATGTCCTATCCGTCGCATATTTTTTAAAAAAAATATTTTTATCCTGTTGGTTTGTCTATTGCCAATTCACAAAGAAATTTGACCTCAAACTCATTTTTTGACAAATCATCGTACTTGACTGAAATAGTTCATATCAACATTTGTGAACTCCACAAAAAAAAATTGGACTCCATACTGGAATATTCAAAATTGAGTTCTAGTGCCTCCCATTTTTCTATTTTTCAACAGATTAACTCAACAGAGAAACACTTTAATGCTGCTATCCCTCAAACTCTAAAAACCTGGAATGTTTGGTAAAATATACTCTCAAAATTCCACGTTTCAATGTTGCAATATTGTCAATGTCTGGTGCGCTTATATTGATTCTAATTAAAAACGTCTGAAAATGCTTCATACGGGTTCTTTTTTGCATTTTATGAGTAGAAAAGAGTTAAAAAGCATCCCAGCAATCCCAGCTATAGTTTTCAGCCACTTAATGCGTCAATCACTCCAAACGTTCCATGAAGAACCCGAAGTATGATGGAAAATATATTCACAAAATTCCACGTTTCAATGTTGCAATTGTCAAAGTCTGGTGCAGTTAGGGTGATTCTAATGAAAACTTTTCGCAGACGTTTTTCTTAGTATTTTACAAGCAGGAAAGAGTTAAAAAGCATCCAAGCCATGGTTTTCAGACACTTAATACCTCAGTCCTTCCAAACAATATCTGTGAAAAACTTGGAGTATTTTGAAAAATGAACTCACAACTGCCCACGTTTCAGTGTTGCATTATTGTCAATGTCTCGTGCACTTAGATTGATCCTAATTAAAAACTTCTAAAAAATGCTTTGTAGAGGGTTTTCTTTACATTTTACGAGCAGAAAAGAGTAAAAAAACACCGAAGCTACGGTTTTCAGCCGACGTTATGACGCCGAGATCAGCGGCCGGAGGAAAACTCGGAGGATTCGTTTCAGCCCAATTGCGTCGGGAGCGGTGCTGGTTTATGCAACTATTTCGTAACGTGAGCTTTCTCTGAGTGCAACAATTACAGATCGATGTGCTTGCTGCTTACACCTCGCGACGCGCCGACCGCAGCCCTCCGCTCGCTCGAGCCGCGCCACGGGGGAACAACGCCGCCCAGGCCCCGGATCAAACCTGGAGCGCCGCGGATTTTTGAGCACGGGCCGCGACACCGCGCGCGCCGGCACCCGCTCCAACAAATTATCAAATCCATTTTGCACTCTCGCGGAATTTTTACCGTCGCACAGTGGATCTAGAGTCCCTTTATACTGAGAGTCAAGACAATGTGAATCCATTTCTGATTGGTTCCCGTATTTTAGGCCTTCACAGTGTCACAACCGGGAATAAAGATTACATTTTTGCTGATTGCAAAGACTATAATCCGGAATGGACCAGGAAATTACGGGTTCAGAAAGGAACAAACGGAATGAGAGAAGGGACGGAGAAAGTAATTTGTGAATGGGTCGATCAAAGATTACGAAAAACGTTCAATTTGTGTAATCTTTATTCCCGTCTGTGACTCCATGAGGGGGTGTTGTCTTGACTCTCAGTATAAAGAGACTCCAAGTGGATCGAGTCAGGAGAGGTCGGACAAAATGTGGAAACTTTAAGCGCTTTAACTCCGATAAAAACTTTGAGGTTCTAAAAGTGGCTCCATTGGTTTCTTCGTGAGATTTGCCTCCAGAAGCACCCCTTGAAATTTGAAATGTGACTAAATGAACATCAAAATTTGCAGATTTAGTCAACAATTTCATGTCTAACCTCTCTAATTGACTCGATCCACTGTGCGCACAGGCGACCGGTTCGCAAGCGGAGATAAAATAATTTAGAGGCACTGAATTCGAACAGCCTGCTCGCTGATTTTTGAAAGCTATGGACAAAACGATCGACAAAACCATGAACGAAGCCTCTATCTTTTAGCGTAAAATTAATTTTTTCCCCCTGTTTTCCATCAATTTTACACTTAAAATCTTACGAATGACCAAATAAATCTCTATCTAAAGCAGAATTGGACATATTTATGCTGAAAGGGATACCCTTTTACACGCATACCTTATAAATATACTTCCTTTTATCAAGAACACGTCCGTATTGATTACGGCTTTGACTAGGCGGAGACTTGCACTTAAAGTTGAACCTGTGGGCCTACTCGAATGTTTAATGGTTGCCAGATAGTGCTGATAAACCAGCACTTTTCCCCGCTTAAACCCATTAAAAGTACACATATCTTATCACACACTGTGGGCAATTGCATGGTGCGCAAACTTAATACGACGTAGGATTTTCCATTAGTAAAGAGAAAAGGCGTAATAAATACTAATCAGCCAGATTAAAGACGACTAGTTTTTCATATCGTGTGACGGCACAATAAGGCTCTTGTTGGGAGGATAGAATCCGCTAATTAATCAGTATATCCTGCGTAAAATGCATAGAAACAATGCAAGCTGCTATTTAAGTCTAAACTCAATCTGAAAACTTGAATGTTTTACAGTCTTATTACAAAGTATGATATGACTTCAAGGAACCCTCCTCTGCCTGTCATTAACATCGTGCGGGGTAAATCCAAACGAGTGGTAGAAATGTGAATCAACTAAACGGACCTCAGTATGGAATTGTGAAACTTCCATTTAATTTACTATTAAATACGGTTGAATTGACTTTTTCCTCGTCCCGTGGTATGAAAAGATTAAATATAAGTTGTGCGAGAGTCCCATGTGCATGTAATGAAAGAGACAAGAATCAAATTATAAGAAACTATCAATCAATTAAACATTCTTAAATCGGTAGAATTTTTTTATCTGGGTAAACATTTCGTGCTAGAGAGGGATTTCAAATTTCAAATGAAACATCCCCTGCAATGGAGACTCAATGCAATTGTGGTATGTACCTAATTTAATTTGAGATGTACCGGCTTAAGTCAGCCTGACTTAATACCTTCCAAGAACTCTTGTAACTTCAGTTGAAAACAAACATTTTGCGTTTAAATGTATCTCTGTATGAAAAAATTGTGTGGATTTTCTTAGTAACCTAATTCGTAAAATTTGATCACACATCGACAGTGAAATTTCCAAACCACGTATCTCGTTTGCGGTGTTGAAAAATATCCGCTCCCATTTTACTTTTTTACAGGTGAAAATCAACATCGCTCTGTTAAATTTTCACAGAATTTTCTCCGCACGAAAAAAAAAAAAAAAAAAATTATGGCAGTTTTTAAAATAGCCGTTGAGTAGTTTTCCATTCAAAAAATAAAATACGACAGGAGTTGTGCAACGTCGCAAACCGAGAAACGTGGTTGGGAGTTTCCCCGTCGTTATTCCTCATCCCGCGTTAAAGTCTCTCCATTTGAGTTGCCTCACATTACAACTAAAAAACAGTCGCTTCTGCTTAAAGTTTCGACCGGTTTTTTTCCATTGAACTATTTAACCCAAGTTAAAAGACTCTTCTTTTAATTTTTAAAATAAAAAACGCGAAACATTTGAAAAATCCATCACCCCGAATCGGCAACTCCAGAGGAGGGGGTGGCGGGAGGCGATACCGCCGTGCTAAGGAAGAACGCCGTATGAACATTCGAGAGTTGCCACATTTCCCTCGATAAAACATGTATTTTTGACTGCATTCATGCATATTTTTCCTTGAAATTTTCAAATATTTTAAAATAAATTGCGTACAAAATAGTCTGAAAATTTCGGAAAATAATGTCCGCAATTTTCCCAGTAAATTCGGTTTTTATCGGAGGAAACTTGGCAACATCTGAAGGCTGATACGGCGTTCTTCCTTAACGCGGCAGGATACCCCGCCGTGTCCCGGGCCCGTTATCCGTGGGCGCCAGCCACAATGCAGTTTCGAACTAAATGAGTCATTGTTTACGGCGTGTATAATTGTGTATGGGGCGCATAAAAAAATGGATTTGCCGTGGACGTGTGTGTGATAATATCATTATACTTCCGCGCAATTTGATTTCGAGGCGCGTCCGGATCGTGACTTTGCACCTTAGCCGCGCCGAGCCAGATAACGGCCTCGCGGCAGATCATTCGGGATTTAAAGTAGACCATTCATCCTTCAAATAGCTTCATTAAGTTCACTCACATTAACCCGGTGTGAATTTGTGTAAACGGTGATCTGGCGTCAAATTTCAGATACCTCCTTTTCCACTCATGAGGTATGTTCTGCCGTGCTAAGGAAGAACGCCGTATGAACATTGATATGTTGTCAAATTTCCTCTGATAAAATACGAATTTACGAAGGATATCTGAAAAGTTTAACTATTTTGATCGCAATTTAATCTAAAATATCCGGAAATTCCAATGAAAAATATGGATAAATTTAGTCAAAAATACATGTTTCATTTGGGGAAATTTGACAACTCTCGAATGTACATTACATGCAACGTTCTTTCTTAGCACGGCAGTGTTGATGTCCTGTGGGCTGATTATTGAAATTGATGGACAAAGAGGACTTAGGGAGTATGGAGCGATCCTATTGGTTGAAACGCGTGGTTCTCATAAACTGAGGGGAAATATTGGACTAACTGTAGGGTCTCTTGTCGGTTGTCGTTTGTTCGTTTCAGAACTGTTTATAAATTTTAATATTGATTGGAATATATGCATGTAAAGTACGAAAATTCCTGCAAACCCTTTTAGGTCCATGTCTAAGATCACAGAATCATGACTTGCAGTGTATGTTACTATAGAGATAAAGGGATTCAATGACGGACTCATAAAACTGCAAGTGACAGCATGACCCAAAATCTTCGTTTAATTTATCGTTCGTCGTCATAATCCGCTCATCTTAAAATCATGACATTTCTGGCCTACTCTTTGACGCAGCCCAAGATACAAGCCTTGAAGATTGAGAACAATCAAATGTTACGGCTTTTCGGCCCGTAAACCCGCTTAGTACTCTAAGCTCCAGGTTCGTATCATTTCAATCGAGTTAAAGCTGTATCACATACTATCGAGGATGGATATAAATATCATCACAAAAATCCTCAAAATTTAGAATTTGCCCGCGGGCACGCGTATCATCAATTAGAAAGCACATTTCTGAGAATCGGTAGTAAAAAAACAATGAGGCCCACGCCGCCGTGCTAAGGAAGAACGCCGTATGAACATTCGAGAGTAGCCACATTTCCTTGTCTAAAATGTTTATTTTTGAGGAAAGTTATGGATATTTTTCCTTGAAATTCTCAGGAACTTTAGAACACAGTACGAACAACATCGACGATTTCGCTGGCCGCGAAGCGGCCCTTGGGGGCGCGTGGCGCCCTGGGGGTTGGTCTCCTAGTCATTTTTTAAAATAATTCGAAATATCCTCGATAATACCAGCCAAACTTAAAACTGAATTAGATCTCTGAAACATTTGCGATTCCCATTTAAATCAGTGTTTTTTAAAACATCTGAAACAATTTAATGGTAAAAGTCCATATAATCTTACAAAATATATTGAGAGAGCCGTATTATGTCCAATCAAACTTATGTCAACCAAATTATTGATAGATATCAGCAACAATAAAATCGTTTTAAATGACATGAATCTGTGCATGAATGCCAGGTAAAAAGGATTTAAAAGAATCAAAAGCGCGTGTCTCAGTACTCTGATGAATTTACGAATGTCATGTTCATGGATGGAATTGCCTTTCAATACATTGGATAGACTGTCATGCATGGCATGTTACATGAAGGAATTTCTACTGGCTGAATTTTAATTTTTCGATACTTTTAGATTCCTTCATTGTTACGAGAGTGTATTTAGAATTGCGTATTAATTTGAAATCTTCAATGTGTGTCTTAATAGGTCAACTACTACACAAACCAGAAGATGTGAGCATCGAAGATGAAGGAATGACAGGCGTTATCGACGAATCTGCCGTCGCTACACCAGAAGAAAGAGCAATTTTGGTAAGGTAACTTTGTCTTATTCTCCGTATGATAATCACTGCTCTTATATTCTTACGTTACATCAAGTCGCACCGTACTCACGACCTTCGTTAAAATAAATTTACCCGTCAAATCCTGACAAGTTTGCTCTTCTCGACCACTGGATCACGGGATGTTCAAAGGAGTAGTATAACCTTGACGCAGTGGAAATCAAAATAACGAGGAAAAAAAGAAGGGGAAGGGGAAGGGGAAGGGAAAAAGAAGAGGGAGAAACAGAAAAATATGAAGGAGGAGAGGAAGGAAAAGACAAAAGAAAAGATATGTTTAATATATTCTTAACTTCGTGCAAAGGACTTGCGTGTTACATAGTTCCTTTTGATTTAATACATTTTCACTTCGTCCCTTCAGCAAAAATATATGTACGTCCATTTTCCATGTGACAGCAAAACGTCCAGTTCACAATGCCACTCTAATTTTGAAGGAAAGATTGAAAATAATCCCGCTGTTAAAGAACGGTCAGTAGATACACACATGTCGGTATATTTAATGTTAGATTATAGAGCTTTGAGGACCCAAAAGGGCAACCAACCTACAGGGCCGGATTTAGGGGGTGGCCACTTGGGCCCGGCCCATGGCGGCAAATTTTAGGGGGCGGCAAATGTTGCAATTTTTTCAAATGTAGGTATAAAAAAAAATTGGATTCAGAAATAAAATTACAAACGAGGAAGGGGACAAAATGTCTCATTTCCTGAGAGATAAAGTACAGTAATTTCTAATTTGTTCGTCTTTTGGTGATACATGAGACAGAGCCTTCTATTAGTCTAGTTGAGAGAGAAACCAAACACGCAGTTGGGCCTGGAGCGGCGCGGCGCGGCGCCAAGAGCAATGGTGACTTGAGATAAAAAGGAGAAGCCCTTGTCGCGCCGGTCAGCATGAAACATATATTAGCACCTACAAGACTCCACGAATACTTTACGCATTGCGTCAATCGTAGTGCGGTCAGCAGCGGTTGGCGTGAAACTCATAGTGCCTACAAGACTGAAAGGATGCTTCACGCATTGCGCCAAACACAATGCGGATGACGTGGTGGCGGAAATTAAAATTATTACCTAAACCACATTCATGTTTATTCTTTCATAATTTTTTCGTTCATTTCTTATGAATGAAAGGCCTTGTCCACACAGAGAAAGGTTTATGGAACTTAACTTTCGCGCAAAGCTCCGTGAATTTTTGCTAGTGTTGACATGGTATTCACAAATTATTGTAAGACGCGACGGGTAATATGAATGGAGATGTTGCATGTGTGAGGAATTTGCGATTTGACTATAAATTCTTATGTAAAAGTCCGCGAGAAACAAGATGGTGCCACTGGTTTTCTCTGAAGTCAACTCCCAAGCTCAAAAAAAGCTCTCAAGTTGAGGCCAAAATGGAGGGGATATCCCGCCCTACCCTGAGAGTCCACCTCTATATCAAAACAAACTCTCCATGCAAAGATAGGGAGCAAATACATTAGCAGTAATGCCGTGTTTTCAGTTCTAGAGTCCCCAAGTAGAGTGGCAGCCCTGTCAATGTATTTACTCCCTATCTTTGCATGGAGAGTTTGTCTCGATGTAGAGGTGGACTCTCAGGAGAGCGCGGGATATCCCCTCCATTTTGGCCTCAACTTGAGAGCTTTTTTTGAGCTTGGGAGTTGATTTCAGAGAAAACCAGTGGCACCATCGTGTTTCTCGCAAACTTTTACATAAGAATCAACAGTCAAATCTCCAATTCCTCACACATACAACACCTTCATCGTGAAAATTAGTACCACTGGATAATTCGAGTTCATAGGTTAGCTGCCCTTTCGGATCCCAAGCGCTACATGACCTGATCAAACCTAACCTCCAAATTTTCGAGTTGTCCATACTTTCCATATAGAGGCGCTCTAGCTGGACCCGGAGGGCGGCGTGGAAGCGGGACTTGGGCTTGGGCCTTGGCGCGACCTTCACGGACGGCGGCGCGGGGCTGCGTGCGGGACTCGGGCGCCGCGACGCGCTCCACGCATGAGCACCGGCACTGAGCAGCGCAGCGCGCAGCGAGCATGCCCATTGAGGAATCGTGCGCGTCGCCGCCGGTGAATGAAAACGGTGGCACACTGAATGCCGAACGGTAATTGCCCGGTGGCACTGCACTGCCACCGCGCATGCTCGCCCGCACTTCCGATCCTCCTATCTTCATCGGCACGACATCCAGCCCGGCGTCACGTTGTTGAGTGGCGGTAAAAATCCCCGCGCACCGCCGACCACGAATCGCCATGGCCGGAGGCCCATGTATTCTGCCGTGCTAAGGAAGAACGCCGTATGAGCCTTCAGACGTTGCCGAATTTCCTTCGATGAAACGCGAATTCAATAAGAAAATTGTAATTTTTTTTTTTTCAAAAATGTCAGACAAGTTTGTACGCAATTTAATCTAAAATAGGTAGCTGAAAATTTCAAGAGAAAATATGCTTAAATAAATTGCATGAAAAATGCATGTTTTATCAAGGAAAATTCGGCAACTCACGAATGTTCATACGGCGGTTTTCCTTAGCACGGCAGTATTCACGCCCAGATTCAGTGGGCTCTTCGTAACCCGAGTCTGGCAGCTTCGAGTTTTTTCTACCCGAGTGCAAAAATATCTTAAGACCTTCCGAATTTCCTCCAAATTTTTTTAGGTTTTTTCCCCATTTTATCTTCCTTTTATTCCTACTCTTCTTCTCTTCACTCTTTTCCTGCTTGTAACCCTCCTTACTCTCTTCCTTCTTTCTCATCTTCTTATTTCTCTTCTCCTTTCTCTTCTCATTCACTTTTCTCATCTTCTTATTCTTTTCTTTCTTCTATTTTTCACCTTTCTCCTCTCCTCCTTGTTTTCCTCCTATTCCCCTTTCTGTGTTTCTTATTCATTCTCTTTGTCTCCTTTCTCGTATCCTCTTTTCCTTTCATTTCTCCTTGTTTTCCTCCTATTCCCCTTTCTGTGTTTCTTATTCATTCTCTTTGTCTCCTTTCTCGTATCCTCTTTTCCTTTCATTTCTCTATTTCTTCTTTCTCCCTTTTTTGTCTCTCTTTTCTTCTTTTCCTTTCTTCTCCTTTCCTTTCTTCTCCTTTCTTTCCTTCTCCTTCCTCTCCTTCTCATTCTTATGATCAGTTCTCCTCCACTTACGATTGGTACAAAAATCAAAACTATAAGACTTGTGCAATGTGTCAATCACTTCAGGATACTTCAGAGACTTAAACGAGCGTATAGAAAAGTAATCTCATTAGCACTGAGTGGCACACGCTCTGAGATCGGAACTAATCCAATACTCTAGAACAACACATATGCTACACGTGACAAACTCTGTGTTTCCAACTGTGAGTTCAACGAAATTTATCAATGTGAAAATTGAAAATAATGTATATCGGAGATAAATCCATGCCTAGGTTTATAAACATTATATGATTGAATTTAATGGCGCTTAATGTGCCAACACCTTTAAAGTAATTATTTTACATTCAAGAGAAAAATTGCATGATTCTAGTGAATTGTTCCAATTATTAGAATGTTTCACTATATTGGATTTTTAAAAGCACCAGTATCCTGTGAAAAACGTAAAATAGCCCTTCGCTGCTGCGTTCATTGACTCATTGAAATTATATTTGAATCCTAGAGGGTTAATATCGAATGAAATTTTCACTTATTTTTTACGCTTGTCAGGGGATGTGTGCACTTGAGAAAATATTTTTAGCATTTGATTGATTGATTCCAATCAAACGGTTGAATTTAAGCATCATGCAATCTGAAAAGATTTGTAACACAGCTCTCTCACTGACTAAATCACCGGGTGTTTTTTTTTTAATAATAATTCAACCCATTTTCTCACGGCCTGAAAAAGGATGTGCATATTTTTGCGGTCGTCTCTCCTTTTTCAATGTCAAAATACGAGGCGAGGTCCTTTACGTTATTGGGAGCATGACACCTCCTCTGAATTTATGAAAAATATTATGATCCGCATTCCAGATTACATAAACATTAGAAACTTTTGCTTTGGATCTGAATCATTCACTCGTCACAAAAGGCCTTAAAATCAACCACGCCCTTACTTCAAGACGAGATTTTTCCTCTAAATTGTATCCGACTCCCTTCTCCGACTTAAAGGTTGACAGAACTACGCGGCAACAAAAAAACTTATTCTTCAAAAGTCTGTGGTAACGCTGCACACAATAAAGAGCATTTTTTCGTTGTATAAAAAGAGGCCGTATGAACATTCAAATATTACTACATTTCTCCCTTTATAATATGAATTTTCTGATGAACTGGAGACTGTTCTTCCGTGTTAAGGGAAAACGTCATAAGAACATTCGAGAGTTGCAAAATTTCCTCGGATAAAATGTGTATTTTTGAGGAAAGTTGTGCACACTGTTCCTTGACATTTTTAGATATTTTAGATTATACTTCGAAAAAAATTTACAGAAAAATTCGAAGAAAAAAGTTCTGAATTTTTTCGGTAGATTCGTATTTTCTTGAAAAAAATATGGCAACGTCTAAAGGCTGAAACGGCGTCCATTCTCAGCAAGGCAGTATATTGGTTTCTGATTTTTTTAGCCGATATTCTTCACAATTTATATTACCGTGTCTGACAATTTCGAGGAAAAGTATTTTATTTTTCCTCAAAAATTAGTATTTCATCAGAGAACATTTTGCAACGCGTGAATGTTCATACGGCATTCTTACTTAGAACGGCAGACCGACTGTACCTTGATGCGCTAGGGTCTGCATTATCTTAGATTTCGTTCAAAATCGCAGAATTATTTACGGCGATTCGTGCAGAACTGCCCTTGTTTACAGTTTTATGCTACCGACTGAATTTTAATTGACTCGCGTTGAAACGGGCATGAGATGCTCGTGCGAATTTCTTGAGCTGCTCAAACAATAGACAAAATATGCGTTGCAAGACTGTCCGATTTTGCGTCGAATGTTTAACTTGGCGTGCTTGTTATTAACCGTCACTAATTTTTTTATTACCTCACTATGCGCAATGCAGCAGGAGCAATTTAATGCGTAATCTAGGTAAGAAGGATGTAGACGGAGGTATTTTTAGGCCACAAGGCCTTCGTGTGAGGTTGAGTATAGGTCAGTGAGCGAGGTCGGCTTAAGTCAGTGTACCAAACAGTGACGGATAGAAAATTTCGAACTCTTAACTACCATCTTCACTATAGATGTAAACCTCTTTTTTAATCTATTGAATTGTCTATTGGTGACGTCAAATGTAATGGTTCATCGATCGACAGCTATCAAAGGAGTGGTTCTACCTTCTGAACAATTTTTCCTTACTCAATTGCATTTTTGGCACAGACCAAAGTAGCACAGTGCAATACAAATATTAGGGTATCAAATTATGATTTCATTCCATAAAATTGAAATATTCTACCATGAAATTGCAATATTTTTACATGATTTTGTCCATGATTGCCGATTTTAAACTCAATAAGATCAGTTAGAGAGACACGATGCAATAACCCAAATTCACAACAATAAGATACAAGAAATACACACCAAATCGGTTTACAACGCTAAAAACAGAGTACTCAAACTCAACCAGGACGTTTCGGGCCTGTTCGCACTAATTCCTGCTTTGGTCAGTTGCATGCTCATTTCTTTGTTTTAATTTTCAAATTATAGCTTTTGTTTCGGTTAAGAATGCGGGCATAATTGGCCCGAAACGTCCCGGTTATTTTTATTTACTCTGGTTTAGCCTTGTAAACCCTTTTGTTGTGTATTTCTTATATTTCATTGAATGATTTACGTGGATCAGAAAGATAGGCAATTTGTAATGTAAAGAAAATTACAATTTATTTAAATTTCATCGCTATACATTTCAATAAAATATGCCCCTCTATTCAGGAGGTAAGCAACATACACTGAAATGCATAATAATTTTACCATATACTGCCGTACTTAAGAAGAACACCTTCATGAACCTTTAGACGTTGCTATATTTCCTTCGATACAAAACGAATGTACTACATAAATTTTGAATATTTTTTTCCAGTTTTTCATACACTTCTGTTCGCAATTCAATTTAAAATAGCTCAGAACGCCAAGGAAAAATATCGACGGCGTAAGTTTGCAATCACATATCTCGTTTGCGGTGTCTGAAAATATCCGCCTCTTCCTTATTTTTTTAAAGGAGAACAAATCAACATCATTCCTTGGAAGTTTTTGCAGAATTTTCTTCGCACAGAGGAGAAAAATCACGGTAGTTTTAAAGAATTGCCGTTGAGTAGTTTTCCGTTTAAAAGATGAGGAATAACAGGAAATCTGCGACGTCGCAAACCAAGTTATGTGATTGCCGACTAACACCGTCGTTATACATAGGTAACTTTCCTCAAAAATTAATATTTTATCCTGGGAGTTTTGGCAAGCCCTGAAGGTTCATACGGCGTTTTTCCCTAGACGGCAGTATGCTGCCATGCTTGGGAAGAACGCCGTATTAACATGCGAGAGTTGCCAAATTTTCCTTGATAAAACATGCATTTTCGACTACTTTCATGCATATTTTTCCTTGAAATTTTCAAATATTTTAGATTAAATTGCATACAAAATTGTCTGAAAATTTTGGAGAATAATGTCCGCAATTTTCCCAGTAAATTCGGTTTTTATCGGAGGAAATTTGGCAACGCCAGAAGGTTCATACGGCGTTTTCCCTTAGCACGGCGGTATGGCTGCAATTTATTGCAATCCGCGTTACTCGGGGAGTTGAACCGTTTAAAGAACGATTCTGTAACTAGCGGAACCGGGCGATTTGACCCGGTCATTAGTGATGGGTTCCCTACTCTCGGCGATGAGCGTGGACTGATAAGGCGGTTGCGTCGTTGGGTTTTCAGGAGCAGAAGCAGCATCGCACGAGCTCTTACGCAGTCGAGGAGTTCCCGGAGCTGGAGCTTCCTGCCAACCATAAGCTTTCACCCAGCGAGGAAGACACGCAGCAGCACCACGAGGACCCCGCCGACGAGACCCGGCCCGGACAAAAGAATAGCAAGTGAGTAGTTTCCATGCTCTCGTCACGTGCCTCGTGGCTCGGGACTCCACCCACACCCACCTGTTGCCATCCAGGTTCCGGCCAATCATGCTTCCCGTTTCGATACTTTTGATTAGAGTACCTGTACAGCGAGAGTATAGACAGATGTGAAACTCCGAAAATCCATCAGGCCTTCACCGATGCCTCCGCGAATAGAGTTAGGGCCCAGAAATGCAGCCAGCCTATGAATTTCAATTATCCAGAGCGATTTATTGATACAATTGTTACGAACCACCGTTTATAAAGCACATATTTGACTTAGTTTTTGCGAAAATTTACTCATTTTTGCGGAAGAACGCTCATTTATGTACATCTTTAGCCATCGTGGTTAGAATTGGAATCTGCAGACTGGCGGTAAAATTTTGTGCGTTAAAAGTTGGTTAGAAGGGTGGCTGCACTTTTGGGCCCTAAGCCCTCCATGAAGTGATTTGTCTATACTCTCGCTATACAGGGACTCTACTTTTGATTTCCCTAAAATCCTAAAAACTATAGATTGGCTATGACCTACGAAAGAGACCCTAGAGTACCTGTATACGGGAGAGTATTGCCATGTAAATCATTTTACTACAGAAAAAGTGTGCCGCTCTTTGATTGGTCGTCTATCATGAAGCTCCTTAAGTTCGATCAATGTAAACAAACCCCAGCCCCTCCGCTCCTAGTTTGGCCCAATGTTAACAAACGAGGTGGCGGCACAGTTCTACAAAGCTCTAGACGTGATTTTGGATGAGAAAGAATTTTTTTTATGATCAACTTCTGAATTGAGTTCGGATCGACCTTTAATGGATATTTTTGGCCAAAATTAACCTTCGAGTGTGATTATCATTCATTTCTCAGCCGATAATATGTGTTCCTCTGGGTCGGGTTTGTTTACATTGGTCCAACTTTAGAGCTCCGTGATAGCCCAAAACTGATGAACCAGTTAGTAAGCGGCACAGAGATGGCGAAACTCTTCCGTAGACAGGTACTATACAGGGTGTTTCAGACCACCCGTACCAGGCCTTTTTCTCGGTTGGTTTAGGTCGCACGAAGTCGGAGACCGCGGGGTTGGTTAGGGAATTGACCCCAAGGAATCCGAATTTCGTGGTCCCGAAACCCCCCCATCTCCCCTTGGGGGGTAAAGGGGGGGTCACGATGCTGAAAGTCACGGTTCCCGGCCGAATTGCGAATAGATCGCATCAGAATTGAAAAGCACGGAAAATTTTACGTGAAATTGACCCCTAAAAATCCAAAATCGGACCATCCAAGGCCCAAAAATGACCTCCTAAAGAGGGGGACAGTACCCCCCCTCCATCTCAAAATTGACGTAAATTCTCCAGAAAAAGACGGTTTCCCAGGTAATCGACCCCGAGAAATCCAAATTTCATGGTCCCGAAGCTCCTCTAGCCCCCCTTGGGGGGTAAAAACGGGGGGGGCCCAATTTTAAAAATCGGGGCTCCTTTCCGAATCGCAAATTGATTGCATCCAAATTGAGGAGCAGAACACATTTACATCTTAAGTGACTCCTAAGAGTTCTAATAGACCCCCTGAACGGCAGAAAGTAACTTCCTGAGGAGGGGGGCCTCGCCCCCGCCAAAAATTTCTCAGGATTCCTCTTTGGTCGCAAAATGGACGTCGATTCTCCAGAAAAAGACGGTTTCCTGTGTAATCGACCCCGAGGAGCTCAGGGAACATGATATTTAGAGTCCTCGGGGTCTATTACATAGGAAACCGTCTTTTTCTGGAGAATCGACGTCCATTTTGCGACCAAAGAGGAATCCTGAGAAATTTTTGGCGGGGGCGAGGCCCCCCTCCTCAGGAAGTTACTTTCTGCCGTTCAGGGGGTCTATTAGAACTCTTAGGAGTCACTTAAGATGTAAATGTGTTCTGCTCCTCAATTTGGATGCAATCAATTTGCGATTCGGAAAGGAGCCCCGATTTTTAAAATTGGGCCCCCCCCGTTTTTACCCCCCAAGGGGGGCTAGAGGAGCTTCGGGACCATGAAATTTGGATTTCTCGGGGTCGATTACCTGGGAAACCGTCTTTTTCTGGAGAATTTACGTCAATTTTGAGATGGAGGGGGGGTACTGTCCCCCTCTTTAGGAGGTCATTTTTGGGCCTTGGATGGTCCGATTTTGGATTTTTAGGGGTCAATTTCACGTAAAATTTTCCGTGCTTTTCAATTCTGATGCGATCTATTCGCAATTCGGCCGGGAACCGTGACTTTCAGCATCGTGACCCCCCCTTTAACCCCCAAGGGGAGATGGGGGGGGTTTCGGGACCACGAAATTCGGATTCCTTGGGTTCAATTCCCTATTCAACCCCGCGGTCTCCGACTTCGTACGACCTAAACCAACCGAGAAAAAGGCCTGGTACGGGTGGTCTGAAACACCCTGTACAAGCAACGGTATAGAAACGGTAAATTGGCTATGATCTACGAAAGAGCGCACCCCACAGAAAGTAATCGTTCAATAGAGGAGTGGGGGGTTAAACTCCTAACTTAACTCTCATCCGAACCTCAATAACGTTAATCCATACGTGAGTTTTTTAATTAAGAGTTAAACTATAGAATTGAGGGGATAGGAGGACGAGGCGCATAAATGCAGTTTTTGAAAAATTCAGATATTACTTATTTTAAGGAAAACTAGCCTCATAGTGCATATTCTGTGAAAAAACCGCTTCCAGATTCTGAAGTTTTCCAGAATTGGATGAAAGTTTGGAAACGGTAAAATCCCCTTGAAAACTATAGGAATAACCGACTATCTTTGTCTTAATCTGACCTTTGCCCCTAGAAGGCTACGGAACTCAGGGATCATGAGATCAGCCTGACTACATTTTGTACATCGTTGCGACCGAGTGAGAATACATTGTTTCATTTGATGAAGAGAAATTGACTAAAGTAAGACTAAGACTTGTTTCAGACTCGAGATTCAAAATTATCATGCACCCATTGGCAAGTTACCGGGGTCTTTTTAAGTCTCGTCTAGAAGAGATGCAGAAAGCAAAATCTTAAAAATTATCTTTCACATTATCATATGAATTATTTTTTCAAAACTGGTTAGAGAATTATTTTCAGAGGAAGTTCTAAGTGAGAAATTGAATTAGCAAATTGTCAGGTAAGTTACTCTGGAAAAAGTTGAATTTTTGAAAAGTCGAATAGGTGGATTTGAAAAGAGCATCCAACAAAGTTGATCACAAGCACTCTAGTCACTCCAAATCACCCGGTAAAGTGTGAAGTAGAATCTCTATCTCACAAAACTTTACATGTTAAGGTAGGATTTTTTATTGCATCCATTAAATATAAAATTCGCATAGAGGGAAAAGCTAGAAAAACTAATTTTGGATAGGTTGAATTTATCCAAATTTCAGAAAAGCAATTCAAGTTTTAAGGACTTTCTCCAAATTTGTTCATACTCGTAACCGCAATACTTAGTAGTGTCATAAAACTTATTTCGAAATTTTCTCGATAGAAACTGCGCGAATGCAAAGCTTGTTTCTCTTTGTTGATGGCCTTTCTCACACCTACATTCTCCACTCCTCCTTGTCAATGACGCCGTGACTCAGAAGCCCCGCCTCTTCCAAGTCGAAAAATTCGGCAACACTGCTATTTATGATCTTTAGCTATATGGGTTCCATTCATGCGCTTCTACCTGTGCCTGTTCCCACTTTCCGTTTCCTCTTCTCGGCGGGAATTCGACCAAAACAATGGCATTTACCACCTCGTGAGGTTAGCTGTTGCGTATCGTGAATGGCACATTAGATAAGTGTGCCTACGGGACAAATGACTCATGCTTCGATCCTGCCTACGCAAGGCATTATGATCACCCTGTGCTCTTAGATTTATTCTCACACTTTAACTGTACAACTATATTCCTTACAATTTTTTAATTTTTGATGCATTATTTTTATTGCATTATTTTTTTATTTCAAGACCAGATGATTTATTTATTGATTTATGTTTCGATGATCAAAGTGCAAGACCACGTATCTCCGTTTGCGATGTTGCAGACTTCCGGTGGAACTTCATTTTTTCCTTGGGAAACTAGTCAGCGTATAATTTGTTGAAAACTTCTTCGATTTTTATCCTACACTGAAAAAAGTAATATTCAGTTTTAGCACCTAGGGTGTCAAAAATGTGTCTGATGATCCGAAGATGCTGCCTTTACTGTCCTCGCAGTTAATTTTACAACCTATGAATGTAAATTTAACGGCGTTGGCAGTGGAGGCAGTATCTTTGGATCACCAGACACATTTTTGACATCCTAGGTGCTAAAACAGCATATTATTTTTTTCAGTGTATGCAGAGACATGAGATCCTTCACTGGCCTCTTGGTGACAGGTGGAAGCTTTTACTTTCGTGGACTCAATAATTCCTTGTGGAAAATTATAAGGGAGCAACAGACACCACTCTTATTTCGGCTGTTGACCTACCTACACGGTGGATGATGAGCTTCGGGTGACTTCATGAGCCAAACAAGTTCCCCAAATTTCGGCTTGTTTGCTTAACGAAACTGCCAACACACTCTTAACCATAAACCTTCTTCTTCTTCTTCTATGATGGTTTATTGGCTTTATGCTCCGATGTGGAGCCCACAGCCATCTATAGACACATTGTGGTTAAGTTGTTGAAAATGTTGAGGAGAGAGTTAAGTGGGGGAACCATAAACCTTGTAGGTCGATCAACAATAGAATGATGAAGTCCCGAAAGTAAAAGTTTCCACCATAGCCGAGATACGAGTGGAGGTGGAGGGTCTCTTGTCCCTGCTCCTATATTAGTAGAATATTCTGTATCAATTTCAACTATAACTTTTTTCTCTATGTTTACAGCATTGAGCGTGAAAGGCACTTAGAGAAAAAAGTTTTAAATTTGGAAACAACTAAGTACGAGGTGATCAAATTTAACGAAGGAGAAACGGAAAGCAAAGATGGCGGCTTGGGCAAGCCCTCCAAGAAGGACGAAGATGAAGGACAGATCGACTTCGTCGACTCGCCATTGGCCGATAAAGTACTCACCCCCGCCGGAACCTCGAAGGCCTCAAGGACAAGCATAAAGAAGGTAATACTGCCGTGCTAAGGAAGAACGCCGTGCAAACCTTTATCAGTTGCCAAATTTCCTTCAATTTAAAACGAATCTTCAGGAAAACTCCTGAATATTTTCGCTTCAATTTTTCGAAGAATTTTCTTCATAATTACATCTAAATTATCTGAAAATTTCAAGCGAGAATAATTAAAGCACCCTTTAAAATAAATACTTCATTGGGGGAAATTCGTGGTTTCTCGAATGTGACATTTTTCCTTTGCATGGCAGAATGAAAGTTTGCCCTTAGTTTTCCGTATTAAAATCAATCGAGTGAGGCGTGGAAGCTGCTACTCATTACCACACGAGAACTGTGATTGGTATAACGATGTTCACAAGTTGAGAATACAGGGATTCATCCACTAGACTGCATTTAAAATAATCTATGCACATTGAAACAGGTTGCCTCGTCTGCAATCGATTATTTACTATGTATATAAATGGAGGAAAATCATTGTTTCCGACTTGCAAGCATCACCACGGGTCTTGATTATCCGCGGAGAGTTGGTGCTGTGAAACTTGGAACACTCCAAAAGGGAAAAAAGTGATCACGGAAACTGCATTTTAAAAGAGTCCACGTGCAGAGACTTTCGTGAAGGGCTGGATACACGTTCAAAGTGAAGCTTCAAAGTGGTTGCTGTTTTTAGCCAAGTGTTGCCATTCAGGGCCGGATTCAGGAGGTGGCCACTTGGGCCGCGGCCCATGGCAGCAAATTTAGGGGGCGGCAAATGTTGCAATTTTTTCAAATGTAGGTATTAAAAAAAATTCGGATTCAAAAAAAAAAATTACAAACGAGAAAGGCGACAAAATCTCTCATTTCCTGAGAGTTAAATTATAGTAATTTTTAATTTGTTCGTCTCTCGGCGATACAAGAGACAGAGCCTTTCATGAGTCTAGTTGAGAGATAAACCAAACGCGCAATTTGGCCCGGAGCGGTGCGGCGCAGAGAGCAATGATGACGAGGAGATGGAAAGGAGAAGCCCTCGGCGCGCCGATCAGCATGAAACTTTTATTAGCGCCTACAATACTTCACGAATACTTCACGCATTGCATCAAACATAGTGCGGTTAGCAGCGGTTGGCGTGAAACTTATACTGCCTACAAGACTGCATGAATACTTCACGCATTACGTCAAAAACAATGCGGTCGGCATGAAACGCATAGCGCCTACAATACTGTAGGGATACTCCACGCATTGCGCCAAACACACAATGCGGTTGGCGCGGTGGCGGAAATGAAAATTATTAAACCACATTCATGTTTATTCTTCCACAATTTTTTCGTTTATTTCTTATAAATGAAAGTCCTTGTCCACACAGAGATAGGTTTACGGAATTTAACTTTCGCTTAAAGTTCCGCAAACTCTTGCTAGTGTTGACAGGGCTTTCACAAAAAATGTGCCCAACACGAGTAAATGCGTCTTATGCTCCCCTCCTTCTCCGGCAAGCTCACTTTATAAGGACATAGGGAGTATGGAGCGATCCTATTGGTTAAAATTGTTGGTTCCTATAGACTAAGGGAGAAAATGATGGACTAACTGTCAGGTTTCTCGTGGGTTACCTATAGTTAGTCTACTACCTACTGCCTTTGTCCATTAATTGCAACTGTTCGCTTCCACCAAAAGGATCTCGCCAAATCCCTTTCGTCTTCTATGTCTATAGCTTTGCCTATCGATTTCAATACTCGGCCCGCTGAGCTGCTTTTTATTTTAAAAATGCGTCTGTATTTGGGTGAGATTAACCTTTGGTTGTTTCAGGGTCCGAACGGGCAGGACTACGAGTACGAGTACGTGTACTACTACTACGACGAGGACGAGGAGGACAACAACACGCGGGACAAATCCCCGAGCCCGACGCCGACGCCGACGACGCCGGTCCCGACGCGGCGGCCCCCGACGTCGTACACGCCCGCGCCCGAGTACCAGGAGACGCCGCCGAGGACCCGCGGCAAAACCACCACCACCGAGTCCACCGCCATTGTCTACGAGAACAGCTTCAGGCGAGTCCTCCTCTTTTAAGCCACGCTCCCACAAGCCGCTTGCGACGCAAACTAGGGAACCTGTATGTATACTACCGTGTTAAGGAAGAACCCCGTATGAGCCTTCAGGCGTTGCCAAATTTCCTTTGATACATACATAAAGTCGCTTTTATAGCGCCGCCTCGCGCTCTGCGACGCCCAATCGCCATTGCCTCCTATCCTCCCGGAGATCATCAGGCAATTGGCACCTTCTGATCTCCTCCTCCACCCCTTGTCGCCAACCTTTCACAGGACGTCCACGCCGTCGCCTTCCGGGAGGAACCCAATCGAAGACCTGCAACTCGGGAAACCGATCATCTGCCATCCTTCGCACATGTCCATACCAGACCAACTGATTTTCTTTGATAAAAATCGAATTTACTGGAAAAATTGCGACCATTATTTCCCAAATTTTTCAAACCATTATGTACGCAATTTAATTTAAAATATCTGAAAATTTCAAGGGAAAACATGCATGAATGTGGTCAGAAATACAGGTTTTATCAAGGGGATGTGGCAACTCTCGAATGTTCATACGGCGTTCTTCCTAAGCACAGCAGCGTAGGGAGAGTACGGACACGTTGAAATATCGAGTTGTTAGGGCCTAAAAGGCCCGCCAATCTATGAATCCAAATTATCCCGAAGTACGGGATTTATCCTTCACTTCAGGCATTTTTCAGGAGATCTTAGTTCCTTCTGGGTCCTAACTCGTGACAACCACGAGGTCGGGATTCGGCTCCGCTTTGATGAGGGTCAGCAAAGCCCCCCCCCCCCCCCTCCCGGGTGCCGACCGACCGGCCGCTCAGTGGGCCTCTCAAATAGCGCTATTGAAAAAAAGTGATTTTTGGAAGTATCTATAATTTTTGAACTCAGCTACCCTCAAGAATCCCTAAAAATGTATTTTGAACGGTTTGCACATTTAATCTGATTTATTAACATCCAAATCTGGCTTTGGAACCATATTTTGGCGCGCGAAAATCGGTCGGCGCGCGTTGAGCGGAAGTTTCAATCGTCCATAACTCTCGAACCATTCGGTTCCCCAGCTTACTGGACCACTCGTTGGATGCAGAAAAAAACGAACGATTAAAAAAAAAACTGGTTTCAATTTAAATAAAAAATTGAATACTTCGTAAATTCTTTGCTTCAAAGAAATTTTATCGACTCAAACTGAAAAAAGCAGATATGTTAACTTAAAAATGTGATTTCGGGATTTTGACCTATAGAATCTTAAATTATGCAATTTTAAACAATTTTTCGTCCAAACCGGACCTCCATATCTTTCTCCGTTTGATAGATATTGGGATTCACAGGTTGTGACTTCCACCCCCTCTAGCACCCCCCAAAAATGTTTGGGGGTTCTGAAAATTTGGGAAAAGAAGCTGTCAAGTATGAGTAATCAATAGACAAAGTTTGACGAAATTCTGGGGGAGGGGGGGCAAAAAAGCCGTTTTTGCATCGAGCTCTTCAAGCGTTATACTTTTCTCCTCAGTAAGACGGCAACAAGCTTTCTTAAAAAAGCATTGCACCCTGTCGCGCAGGCAACTTCGCGTCGCGCGCCGCTTGTGGAAGCGTACCTTTATCAACTTTGAGCTTCCTCATTCCCGTGCTTATGTAAAGCCCCTCCGGGGGTTGCACCTAGGCCCGCGGTTGGGCCATGTTGCCATCGGAGCTTCCGCGTGAAAAAAAATGAAATATTGACACCACCTCTGACAGTGGCGAGGCGTGAGTGATCGAATTTCGATATTTACCCATTTGAAGCTATGACAAATAATCGATTATTGAGATGTTCGTTGCAAACACCCTGTTTATCGATCCTATTCCATAGTTGTAAATGCAAAAAGTCAAACGATATATCGCAAAGCACGCCAGGCCACTGACTTCTGAATAGATCTGTTATCCAATGTCCGTGGTTACAAGGGTATGAACAGAGAAGACATAGGGAACATGGAGCGATCCTATTGGTTGAAACGGGTGGTTGTTATAGATTAGGGGGGGGGGAGAATATTGAACTAACTACACAGGGTCTCTCGTGGGTTGCCGTTAGTTAGTACATTACTTACCTTCTTTTTCCATTCCAACCACCCACTTCCACCAATAGGATCGCTTTACTTTCAGTTTGTCTTCCGTGTCTATCACTTTTTCTATGAATTCCAACACTGAAAAAAAAACTCCGGCCATGAGAGCCGCAATTACGGGCTATATAGACATCAGGCATACAGGCATACGCGTAGCTTCGATTGCTACGGCTCCAGCAGCCGGAATTTTTGGCCTTTGAGCCCGGAACGGACGGTATGTCTATATAGCCCGTAATTGCGGCTTCCACGGCCGGAGTTTTTTTCAGTGAACAAACAGCCAGGAGGGAAGACAGAAAAGAGCGACGGAAGACATGTTTTAAGGGCTGAAAATAAAATAATTTTACTCTTGTGAGTACACTGATCGTCCAGATTTTCAAATTTTAATAATCCGAAACCAATCAAAAGTTTCTGAGAATTGCCCCAGCACAAAACCACTTTTGACCTTTCGCAAAAAACCCTTTTATTTTGATGAGTATTCGTCGTGGAGGTTAAAAAATATCTCCCAAGCAAGCCAAGCTCACCAAGGCCGAAAATTAGGAGATGAAAACGGTGATGCAATTCTCCTTCTTTAAACCCGTATCCTCTCCATTTTTCCCGTAGAACTATGAGTACGGACGCACCGGGCTTTAACGGGCGAAAATAATTACAACTGAGAGAAGCTTTTAATTGTCTCTGAAAATTGTCACTTTTAATTTCCTCCTGTCATCAGAGCGGAACGGAGCACCTGAATCACCTGATAGTGTAGAAAGTTTACTCTATGAGTCTCCAAGTCTCAACTGTTAATTTCACATAACTTTTTGACAGTGCAATTGGGCGTATTTTTGCCAAACGGAACTACAGACGAGTGGGAAAGATGGGGTGTGCTCGTTGAAGCTGCATAAGAAACAATGTAAAAGTGGGCGTAGTTCCCTTTGGTGAAATGGAAAAGCGGGATTTTGCACTCTGTCAAACGGAACTATGTGCCAACTGAATGCGACACTCATGAGCCATGGGTATGGCAAAAGAGCCTTGTGGACAGGGCTCATGAGTTAATGCGACGAAAGAGTGACCGCGGCTGCAGCTTTAACACCACTAACGTCACCGAGTTCTTACGGTCTAACGAGCACACCCCTTCTTTCCCATCCGTCTCTGGTTCCGTTTGGCAGAAATACGCCCAATTGATCTTAGAACTCAAAATTTGACATCATGTCGGGAGTGGAAATCAAAATAATCATAATGTGACAAAATGATAACAAAAAATTGCAGTTTTAACACAAAAAACTCTTGTCCGACCTTTCTCAGTGGCTTGTTCTACTGTGCGACATTCTCAGCTCAATTCAAGCCCTTTCCCAAGAGACTTAAACGCACGCTAAGGAGCATTTCGTCTCGTCCATTCCGATGCACTGTCTCTTCTTATTTCTCCGTATGTTGCTTCATTTTAATATCAGTTTTTTGATCTTGCAGGTATTCAAACACTGACTCAACAATCGAAAGAGGAACACTGCCAGTAGCTGAGCCAGCCGCGAACGAAGTTTTACCCCCGTCCGGATCCAGGTAGGCACGCCGCACATACGTAATATTTTCCACTTATTCTGCCGTACTAAGGAAGAATGTCGTATGAACCTTCAGGCGTTGCCAAATTTCCTTTGATAAAACATTAATTTCCTTGTAAACGTATATATATTTTCCTTCTAATTTTTCAGATGATTTTGTTCGCAATTTCACATATAAAGTTCCTGAAAATTTCAAGGAAAAATATTAATATCCTTCCTCAAAAAGTAAAATTGTATTGAAGAAAATTTGGCAACTCTCGAATATTCATACGGAGTTAATAAAAGCACGGCAGTATTGATCCTCGTTATTCTGATTGCAGCAGACCTCAATGGGGTCAATGAAGGAGCCTCACTGTAGAGGAAAAGAAGACAGCGGTCATAATTCGATCAATTCATAATGTCTGTACCTTTCTATGCATTTTTGACCCAGTACTTCTCACTGTCCAGTTAAGGGGCCATTACGGCAGTTTCAAGACATTGTTTTCATCTTTTCCTCCGGCGCGTCTGAAAATGTTCCAGAGTCGGATGTTAAGCTCAGATAGAGACTATTTCCGGACTCAAAGCTCTCAAAAGTTGTTCAATTACAAACTTTCTGGCATCTTGAAAATTCCAAAGTTCCTCTTCGTAAAAAGAAAAAAATTTCTTTTCAGAAATCTCAAAATCCTGTCAAATATTTTGAAAATGTTATAAACTTGATTGCCTTTCCCAACAACTCAAAAAAACTTAACTCCCTGAATACTCTAATTACCACTTAAAATCCCCTTCTTCCCAAAATTGCCCTGGAATCCCAAAATCTAAAGAATACATAACAACCACAAATCTTCCAGACATCGAATAGAGCCCTAAACCCATCTAAAATTCTTGTAAATCTTCAAAAAATACAAACATTTTTATGGCCCATCTTTCCATGCAAAAACCTCACAATTGCTGGAGTAAATATCCATTTTTAAATGAAAGGAGGCACAGGGTTGTATCCAAAGTTCATTCTTAAATCTTAAGGCTTCGCTCAGCCAATACAATTCTCATGGCCTAAGGAGGCCTCAATGTTTAAGGCTATAAATAACACCCACAGTTTTCAAAAAGTGCCGTGTAAAAAGTTGTCAGAGTCGATTGCAGGGACCGATTTATCTCCAACGATACCTTTTCGAAAACCGGTTCCGATTTCGGTCTCCGTATCGTCGTTATCTTCGTAGCTTTCAGGCACGCTGCGATGTCCCATCCTTACGTAACGCGCCTCGGGACTGGACGCTCGGACAAACCTCTTAACGCGTTCATGGCCAAGGCTCCGGTTCCCCGCATGAGACTTTTTTCTCCGATCATCGCTCTTCCTCTTCCGCGTCTCCTCAAAGCTGTCCGAAACTCTCATATTCGATGTCACTTGAGGGAAATATTTAGTGCGTGGTTTTTCAAAGTGCACATCACTCGAAATTCCGAGCGACGTTCGTTATCTAACGCACGGTTTCTCTCAAATAAAACTTGGCTTGGCGATGGGCGATGGGCACCACCGTCGCACAGTGGATCGAGTCAATGAGAGAGGTCGGACAAAATTTAGAAACTTTAAACGCTTATAACTCCGTTTTTACAAAAATTAAAGATTCTTAAAGTGGTTTCACTGGTCTGTCAACGCTGAACATAACATTGGCAAACAACACGTTACACCCCCTAGAGTGCTAAATTTTCAGATTGTTTCGTCTTTTATCATCGATACATGCCTAAGAGTGATAACACGACCTGCGTCTACTTTTCTAACCTTGCGTTAAAGTCTCCGACAAATTCATTTTCTAGTGCCGCACATATCAGTCAATGAGAGAGGTCGGACATAATTTGAAACTTTAAACGCTTGTAACTCCGTTTATACAAAAATTTGAGATTCTTAAAGTGGTTTCATTGGTTTCCTCGTAGACTTTTCTTCCAAAAACACCCCTTGAAACTTAAAATGTGACGAATTAAACATCAAAATTTGCAATTTTTGTCGGACATGAAATTTCCGACCTCTCTGATTGACTTGATCCACTGTGCGCCACCGCCGCACTTTCAAAAGGGCCGGGCCCTCAAATCGCCAACGAATAAATGTCAGCTCGGGTCGTCTCATTGAAATGCGGAGCGCTGGACGGTGGACGCGCACTTTCGTTTCTGTTCTTTCGGTGAGGAATGGTTTCTCGGAATATGCGCGGGTTAAAGAGCAGCGCATACTGCACACTTCGGTTGACATAAAAAAAGAATTCCTCTATCTATTACTCCGTGAAAAGCTACCACGCCGACGGCGCACAGTGGATCGAGTCGATTGAAGAGGTCGGACATCCAGATACGGATCTAGCAATTTGGCAACACCGGGTTTCCTCCATTTAAACCTATGAAAATGTATCGATTCTTGGAGGGGCCAGGTGCCCCGACAAGAATCGATTACTTAACATAGGTTTAAATGGAGAAAACCTGGCGTTGCCAAATTGCTAGATCCGCATCTGGACATGACTGCAAATTTTGATGTTTATTTCGTCACATTTTAAATTTACGGGTTGCTTATGGAAAAAAAATTTACGAGAAAACCAATGGAACCATTTTAGAACTTGAAAGTTTTGTACAAACGGAGTTATAAGCGTTTAAAGTTTCCAAATTTTGTCCGACTTTTCCCATTGACTCGATCCACTGTGTGGTGCCGTGTTTATCTCTGCCTGTAGAAGAAGCTAAGTATTGTTGTCTATTAAACTTGAAACACGCCTGGTATTTTGTAGTATTTTTATCCTAATAAAATTGACCGTCTATTATTGCAATTGATCGACAAAGCTATAGACAAAGTAGACAAAGGAGGAATGGAGCGATCCTAATGGTTGAAACGGATGGTTCTTAAAGACTAAAGGTGAAATGATCGACTAACTACAAGGTCACTCATGGGTTTAGCCATTAGTCAGTCAGTCAATTATCTTCTTTCCCAAACGCACCCACCCACTTCCACCAATAGGATCGCTCTATTTCCTTTTGTCCTCCTTGACTATCGCATGATTATCGATTAAAAAATCGAGCTACAAGCCAAAATAACATTTTAGCAAGAGACCTGCGATTTTTTTTTTTAAATAATCATAAATGTATGTTTTTTATCTAACAGAGCCGAAATTTTCATTTTCCTAAATGATCATTTAATATTTTAACAAAACCCAAAAAAAGTTCGGAAAAATTCAAATTTTTAAAAAAAAATTTAAAAATATAAAAATCCGGCTCTGTTAGATGATAAAAGGAGCATTTCTTGATACTTTAAAACTTGTCGCACGTCTCTAGCTCACTTTCCGAACGAGAAATGGTTGCTACAAGATGCCTCTTCAAATTCGCTTAATCGTATATTAAGGGGCAGGCTATGCAACCCGCCTAATTTGGAGAAATCTTAGTTTTACATGTATCTACCTATAAAAAGAGTTTCAAGTCGATAGGACTTGAAGGGGGAAAAAGTTATCAAGACCAGGCCTGCCGCGCTAAGGAAAAACACCGTATGAAAATTCGAGAGTTGCCAAATTTCCTTCGATAAAATGTTTATTTTTAAGAAAAATTATGAATGTTTTTCCTTGAAATTTTCAGGAACTTTGGGTAAAATTGGGAACAAAATTAGCTGAAAAATTGGAAGAAAAATATTTACAAATTTTCTCGAAAATTCGTGACTTACCAACTGAAATTTGGCAACGGCTGAAAGTTCATACGGCGTTCTTCCTTAGCACGGCAGAGGAATACCCCTTTAATAATTGGCGCGGCTCCTCAAACCACGCAATTCCCAAAAACTTGACCCTCTTATATCAAAAAGAACCCAGACGGCGTCGGTCCATCCTCAATTCCGAGTCGATGGGGTCAACCGTTCAAACTGAACCCCCCCCCCCCTTCTTTCCTCTCGCCGGGGGAGGGGGGGCGGTAACGGCGATGATCACAATGCCAGACGTGACTGGACAATTACAGGTGTACCCGGAGCCCACTTCGGGCCGGGGCACACATCAATACAATTTGCACACAGAACGTGCGATTCGTCGATGGTGCACAATTACTTAGACGGCGGCCCAGGACGAGGATGAGTATCGAATATTGAGCAACGGATCACTTATGTAATGAGTGACGCGTCTTATCCGCGCTGCAATCGCCCGCTGAGACCAGATGAGGATGAGGATGGGATGAGACCCACCGCTTCCCGCCCGCCCAGCTCCAAAGTTGTCGCCGCACGGTGGATCGAGTCGATCAGGAAAGATCGGACATGAAATTTTTGACTAAAACTGCAAATTTAGATGTTTATCTCATCACAATCTAAATATTAATGGGGGTTTCTAAAAGGAAATTTCACGAGGGACCAATGGATCCACTTTTGGAACCTCAGAGTTTTTTTATGAACGAAGAGTTATGAGCTTTTAAAGTTTGAAAATTATGTCCGACTTCTCCCGTTGACTCGTTCCGTTGTGCGCCGGGTCCACGCTGCGCTATGAATCGATGTGCGCCCATCCAAACCGATGAAAATGGATCGATCAGTAAGGTTCGCGACGAAAATTGTATTAATAGATTGTTTACCGTAGATTCAAATTGGAGTTTATCGATTGTCGTTGATGATTCATTGCGTGTCTTGCGTTGCGACGTAGAGACTGATCTACGGTTCAAACTCATGGAAAAGAATCGATTACTAAGGTTCGCGACGAAAATTTTAATAATATATTTTTTACTATCGATTCAAATTGGAGTATATCGACTGTCGTTGATGATTCATTGCGTGCGTTTAAACTTATGGAAAAGGATCGATTACTAAGGTAAGTAAATAAAATATCGATGGCCGATTATCAACGCTGCGCCATCGGTGGACATCCGCGCTCCTCATTAGATTATCTAACGGCATCTCGCGTAATCAAAATCAACAGAATCGTGGGATCCATCAGTCACCGGTGCTTCACGCGCAAGCGGGAGGAAACAGTGCTAATTGCCGTGACGTGAGATGTGTCGTTGAAAAAAAGGGTCCGGTTCGGATGAGCTGTTGATTTCGAGCAGGATTAGAACTCTGTCGTGCTAAGGAAAAACGCCGCATGAGCCATCAGGCAATGCCAAATTTCCTCTGACAAACCACGAATTTTCCGGAAAATTTCTGAGTATTTCTCTCCCAATTATTCACATGATTTTGTTCGTTTTTTCATACATAAAGTTTGAAACTCTCATGGAAAAATATTCAAAGCTTTCTTCAAAAATAAATATTTTCTGAGAGGAAATTTGGCAACATTTGAATGCTCACACGGCGTTTTTACTTAGCGCGGCAGAACTCTAGTGAACGTTTGTGGGCGCGGGTCAGTGATCAGAGGTAGAAGTTGGTGCTGACTGTTGAGGGAAAGGGAGAGGTAACTCGCAATGACCGAGGAAATGCAGGTAAAAGCAAGCGGTAAAAGTAGCTCGAGCTTACTGCAGTGAATTATGTAAAGCAGTAAGGTGGTTTAAGAGGCGTTTTGAATGGGATGTGGAGAAAAAAATGGATATATAGCTCTGACGTATGACTCTGTGCATGAATAGAGAGAGAATAATTAAATTGACTTGCCTCGGTATGATTAAGTAAAAATGAAACAAAACAACACGTTTTTGTGACTGGTTGTACTTACTTTATTTAATTGCCTAATTATATTAATACGAATTGATTTTGATGGATTTCGAGCGCATCACGTTTTGCTCGCATTTTAAAAGTCGGTCGTAAAGTACGCACCGGTGATTGTAATCATGAGGCATTCATTCTCCAAATAGTTCTGGTAAAACTCTTTTTCGTCATGTAGATAAATTATAGTTATCTAAAAAAATGATGATGACACGGCCCATTCTTTAATATAAAGTAAAGGTCTCTTCTAATAGTTTAAGAACGAAGACTGAAACTAGACGCGTTACTTACAATCAGCGTCCAAACCAAGCGAGGCATAACGCGTACGCGAAGATGCTCATAGCGCCTTGATGCAACTATTCGTGGTCCAGGAGTGTGCGTGTTGCGTTCACGAATATGAAGGCGTTTTAAAATTCCATGACATAATCAACGTGACACCCTCCCATTTTCGCATCAAAACCGGGCGAGACAAATCGATATCATTTTCGGTTATCGTTTATTTCAGCCTGACTGTGACAAATTATCGGTCTGTTAAGAGGCTTGCAAGACTGTCTTCTACCCTCCTAATGAGACAGAGGTATTAACATACGAAAGCTCACATGGTCATTGCAAGTGATCCGAGACGGTGACTTTTAATCTTGCCAATGTAAATGACTTCAAAGTATATGATAATATAGATTTGAAGTGAATTAAGCAGTAATATCCCAACTATATCAGACGTTGCTCATTTTTTTTTTCATGTTTATTTTTTTTTTTTTTTTTTTTTTTTTTTTTTTGTACCGGACAGTTACACAACGTTCTGCGTTAAGATTCAGTAAGTATATGTATTCTTTATGATCTAAAATACTCGCACGGAAAGTTTCGAGGGGTTATATGCCATTCAAAATGCGTCTCTTGGTTCATGTTAGTGCGTGGGCACAGAATTCCAAAACGCCTTCACTTTTTTGAACGCAACACGCACAATCCCGGAGCGTGAATAGTTGCATCAAGGCGCTATTACCAATTTCTCGTTACGTCCGTTAGCTTGAACGTAAACTGAGGTGCTTTGGTGCTTGGCCCTAATTTTCGTTCGTAAACCACTAGAAGTGGCCTTTGTTTATTTCACAGCGTGGGTCGTTATATGAATATATCTTCATGTAAATTTTAGAAAACTGAATGGTAGTCTCCAAAAACATTTTTCAATCAGGAAAAATGCTCACTGGAAAAAAAGTACATCGGATCTAGAGTCCAGACTCTTAAAAACATCGACAAGAAAAAGTACTCTTGATTCAATCAGAATCTAGCTTAAATCAAGAACCAAGCCTATTAATTTAAGCGGATTTCGTTTTGATTCAAGCGAAAATCCGATTGAATCAAGAGTATTTTCAAGAGTCTGGACTCTAGATCCAATGTGTTTTTTTTCCAGTGCTCGGCTGAATCAATCTTCTTCTTCTTTCCTGGATTTTTTCCTCTAGAGTAATACGTTTTACAAAAGATTACTTTAATTACAAACAATTTCCATTAGGAATTTAGAGCCTTATTTTCTCAGCTGCATCGATATCGCTTGAAAATGAGTGTGGTATGGCAACAATAAGCTCATAATTTGCATGGTTTTACCCATCCCTCCTCCTTTCTTCAACAGCCACTCGGTGAATCTCTAACCGTTTAGCAGTGATGAGTTTCCGAGGTTTTGATATGAGCCCCATCGTTTCCGTGTGCCAATCAACCCGTCACTTTCATCTCGACCCCCGCTGGGCCGCCGCCGGGCCGATGGGATGCAGAGAGCACAATGAGATTTCCCTCTGCTCTCCCATCCTTCCCGATTTTTTCGCGTGTCAACACTCGGTTACATCGGTGCCACGTTTCAGTGCACGTCCGAAAACCAGAGGTTTTAGTTCGGTGATAGACAAACACAAAAACTATGGATGGACCTTACTCCGAGAAAACTCAATATTAGGTTTTATAATACAAAAACTAGAGGGAACCTTCTTCCACAAAATCTCAATATTAAGTTCTTTACCAAAGCAGAGAGGAGTGTTCTTTGAGCATTTTGGGCCAAGAAATGCCCACAGAATTCTGAATTAAACAGGAGTTATGAAGACTTAATATTTTAAAAGAAAATGATAATAGAAAATGACGCTTATTTGGACTGCGTTAAACAGACAGAAAGGAACCGAGCCATATGAGCTATTGCCAAATTTAATTGAGCAATTGAATGTCTAACATGCAAACGGTTGTGCGGATTTTTGTGCAATCAGTAAACTTTCTCCATGACACGAAGCAAATTTCATAAAATTTTCCGCACAAACGTTCTCTCGTAGATAATGAAATTTTCCAGTTAAATTTGGCAATAGCCAATGTAGTTTGGTTCCTTACTGTTGAATGCGGTCCATTTGAAGAAAGTCTATTTCAGATTTTAATCCATCATTTCTAGAATAAAGAAGTGCCAATGTATTAGAATTCAAATCTTAATCCACCATTTTCAGATTAAAAAATTGTCGAATTTTAATGCCACCTCTCACCCTTTATTTGATGGTCTAAACCACTTATGACGAATAACAATTAGACTTGGGTTTAAAAGAAAAAGAACCCCCCCCCTTTCTCAGCCGGAAATATTAGTACATTCGCCCATGACAGAGTTGCGATCAAGTATTGGTACCCGAAAATGAATTTGACGGAGACTTTAACGCAAGGTTAGAAAAGTAGACGCAGGTCGTGCTATCACTTGCAGGCCTGTACCGATGATGAAAGACGAAACCATCTGAAAATTTAGCACTCTGGAGAGTGCGTGGAAATGTTTGCCGGTGTTATATTCAGCGTTGAGAGGGACTAGGTAATGAGAGAAACATTACGTGACGATTTTGTAATCGGAGCTTAGCAAAGTAAGAAAAAATAAATACTCGCTAGAAAGTTGCCGCCCTCTTGAGTTGCACTTTATTGATTACTCGTCCACTAACAATCTTATTGACAAAAAACAAGTTAAAAGTAGACATTTTGAGACATTACAATCAAAGGTTTGACCATAATTTATTCTCTAGAACACTAGAAATAGTTCAACTTGAAATCCGATTTTTCAACCGAACTCGAGAAAAATCGCTCTTCTGTAAATTTCACGGCCATGAACCGAGGACCCTTTTTCTGTAAACGGTCAAATCACAGCCTCACCAAGGAACCTAACCAAGGTGTCTAGTTCTTTTCATTTTGCGAAATCCAGATGAAATCCTGATTTTTGACTGCTAAATCCTTACTTCATATTTTTTCCAAATCCTGATTTTTTTTTGCGGAGAATAATTAAGACGTCATCACTTCACGCGAGGTGAATGTAACTTCACAAAAGCAGTTCGATAAAGAAAATCCGATCAGACGGCCGACTTGTCTCAAATCCTGATTTTACACGGAGAAAAAAACGTCGTGCATGGGGCCCGAAGTTGAGGTCATACGGATCTCCGAAGTTTTCTGATCACGCATCCGAAAACTTGAGGTCGAGCTGCCGAAGTTCGGTTCAGACATCGAGACACCTCGGTATGTACAGGAGTACTTCAGATGTGTGACCCGAACCCTTCGGTATACATCGAATTACTTCAGATGTCTGACCCGAAGTTCGGCAGCTCGACCTCAAGTTTTTAGATATTTGATCCAAAAACTTCAGAGATCCATACGACCTCAACTTTGGGTCCCACGCACGAAGTTTTTTTCTTCGTGTACGACCGATTTTTCCTCAAATCCTGATGAAATCGGGAAAATCCTGATGCTGGACACCCTGCTAATTTACCATTTGTTGACTTTTTGCCTACAGGTATACAGGCAGAGGAAGGCAATTGGCAGCAACGCAAGCCCCCGCAACGAACATCCCAGTGCAAGAGGAAAACTTAGAGACGAACACCAGATTCCCCTCCAGAGGTCGAACCACCACAATTGCTACCGAGGACACTTACATCCCCATTCAAACAACGCTCCAACAATCAGCCCCCGCAAAAGAGACGAGAGGACGCAACTCAGGTTAGTACTATCGTGCTAAGGAAAAACGCCGTATGAACCTTCAGGCGTTGCCCAATTTCCGTTGGTAAATCACGAATTTTCGGGAAAATGTATAAACATTCTTCTTAAAATTTTTCAGATAATTTTGCTCGCAATTCGATCGATAAAGTTGTTAAAAATTTATCGGAAAAATATTCATAACTCTCCTTAAAAATAATCATTTTATGGAAGGAAATTTAGCGATTCTCGAATGTTCATACGGCGTTTTTCCTTAGCACGGCAGAGTGTACAGCGTTAGGGATGCGGTTTAAAAGGAAGCCAAATCACGAGACTGTAGACTCTCATTGCGTCGTTCTTTTGAAATCAGTCCAGTTATAGTTCAAGCTCTCGAAGGAATACATCCGCAACTTTACAGAATCAGTGAGATTGTTTATTTTTAAGGGATAGTTTATCATCATTGCTTACGCGTTGCTTGTGACCAAAGTTTTTTCTTCGTTGAGTCAGAGCGGATATGCCTAAAAAGAGTTTGTGTGTTTTCGTGGTTCCACATTAAGTATTCATGGGGAAAACGCGTGCGAGGCTAGGTAAAGTTGCTCCTTCTGCACGGAAGAATACCTTTACATTTGTGTATTGGATCATTTGGATATGCGAAAGTGCGGAACCGCATATTACGTTTGCAACGTTGCAGACTTTCCATCATTCTTTAAATATTTTTTTAAAAACTAGTCCACGTAATTTCTTGAAGTCTTCCTCGATTTTCCTTCTCTATTCGCAGAATATTCTTCATGACTTTAAGGCGTGAAGTTGACCTGTTCCTTTTCAAACAACTAAAACAAAAAACGAAATTTTGAAACTTTGCAATGGACAGACGTACGGGCGTGGTTTAATTGCACCAGTCTTATCTATTGTCCAACAATGCAAGGCTTTGTTACAGACATTTCATCCTGCAATGATTTTTAAATGGATATTTTTTCTTTTAAAGGAAATGTCAAGAGGCCAAGCGTTGAGCTTGTGGACAGCAGCTCTTTCCAGCATCACTCTAATGGAGTATCTGCACCTGAGCAGGAATACTTTTCCCCACAGTACCCTCACTCCACCGACTATGCGAGCCAGCCTTTGCCCACAGCAGGTAACAATAATCTACCTATTATTTCACAATACAAATTTATAACATAATTATCAGTTGACATTTGAGAGTTTGCTAGGTCCAATGATTCGACATGTTTTTACATTAATGGAAACTACATTTTCTGCTGAGCACGAGCTTCTCTTCAGTCTCTAAATTGAACGATAAATTATCGGAGTTGTTTACGACAGAGTGATTTAAAGCGCTTAAGTACGCGCGTGCGCGTGGAAAATGCTTTTCAATGACGTCCATGAGCGATAAATTTTCTCATTCATAAATCTATTTCTCTACATTTTTTCGTTCAAGAGAAGAATGTTCAAACACATTAAGAGCTCAGCTGATCAAAAACCTCCACATAGACACAATCTTTCGAGGAAATTCTCTCATTTTATTTGGCACGATCGATAAAATTCCGTAAATGGACTAAGGATTATATATATGTGTGTGTGTGTGTATAGGGCCCTGAATTTGACCTTTAATCGCTTAACTGTAAAACTTAATGAGGAATAAATCAGAGGCCTTTCTCCTTATAACAACTAGGTATTTGGTTGAGCTAATGTTTGACTTCCAGAATGTTTTGTGTCAGACTGGATCCACTGTTGTTTGGTACTTAATGAACTAGGAATAGGGTTTACTGCTCTTGTTTTATCTTTGCATTCTCGTAAATTTTTTCATCCGGATTCTGTTGATTTTTTACCGATAAACAAAATAAAAGTATGCCTGGGGTTTAGTTTCGGCAAAAATATAAATTAATAAATGAAATAATAAAATAAATAAATACATGATTCGAGGTACTGTACTGTTTAAGATCATAGCTTCTTTTATTTTTTTGATCAGTCTCTGTGATACGTAAGAATACTTGCAAGACGCCCATCATAGCTGTACCGAAAAACGCCTTCAAAATAGTTTGATACAAAATCACGTACTTTGAAACGGCTTCCCTCCTTCCGTGTAACACGTTTACTCCTGGTGTCTTGCTGAGGGAGTGCTCAAAAAACGAGTCATTCCTTGGTCCATAACTGTTCTTATTTATGAAGCCCATTTTTAAATTAAAATTGTTTGGTTGTTTATTTAATTTCTTGAAAAAAGGCGCAAGTCCAAAATATCAAAAATTAGTCTTAAATTTTAAAGCCAAGAGCCAAGATAGCCCAATGTTTAGCTCAAGATACTAAATATGTTTCCCGCGAAAAAATTAGTTTAGATCTTCCGAACAAAGTTGACTAGCCCTTTGAACACGCGCGGGAAATGTTCAATCTATCCTTCTTGGTGAGAAAAATCGGTTTTTTCCTACCCTGTCTGTTAAATTTTTAAATCGATGGACAAAGCTATAGACAGAAGAAACAAGAAGGAAATGTAGCGATCCTATTGATTGTAATGGGAGAGAGGGGCTTGTTCCAGGCTAAGGGAGAAAATGATCGAATGCTTTAGAGTTTTTTAGAGGTTGCCGTTCAAGTGTACTACTTACCTCATTGGTCTATTCCAATCATCATTTTTCTTGTGTCTTCCTGCCCATCACTGCGGTAGTTCTTTTATCAAACACTATCAGCGAGGACATGATGTGTCGAAGCACCGGGAAGAGAATGACCTTACCCGAGGTCATCGGTGAAACACAGCGATTTACATTTGTTTATTGAACAACAGCTTGATCATCGAAAAATAATCAGCGAGCTGATTGTTGAACTTTATAGACAAAGAAGACAAAAGGGATATGGAGAGATCCTATAGGCAGAAGCAGGTGGTTGCGATGGACAAAGGAGGTAGATTATAAACTAACTAATGGCAACCCACAAGAGACCCATCGTTAGTCCATCATTCTCTCCCTTCCCTGCTAAAAATGGGGAGTACAAATGAGTAGAAAATCAAAGTCACATGACTAGAATTCCAATTCATATCAATAGAATTTCAACTTATATGAATATAATTTAACTCGTATGAGCAGCAGAATTTCTCCATTCAGTTTTCGCCAACTCATATAACTAGAGATCTCAACTCACATGAGTTCAGCGTTGAATCTACCGTGTCCGATGTCTCAGAAACTAGTCACTGCATCAAAAAACTTATAAGAACAAAATGTTTTTATTTTTCAAATTTACGTACCATGTCGGTGTCTTCTGGTAAGAAACAGCACTTCTGAAAATGATAAAAATTTGATTCATATGAGTTGAACTTTTCTACTCTTACGAGTAGAATGTTCTAGTGATATGAGTAGGATTTCTACTCATATAAGTAGGAAGTTCTTTTCATGTGAGTTGGCGATTTCTAAATAGCCAACTCGTCATTTTTAGCAAGGTTAGTCTGTAGGAATCACAAATTTCAACAGATAAAATCGTGCCACACTACCAATGTCTTCTTCGTCTATTGCTTTATCTATCGATTTCGACAGTCAACCCGCAGGTTGCTGCAACATTTGGTACGGCATTGAGCTCTTCTTATCTAGAGTCCCTTTATACTGAGAGTCAAGACAACACCCTTCATGGAGTCACAAACGGGAATAAAGATTACAGAAATTGAACGCTTTTCGTAATCTTTGATCGGCCCATTCTCGAATTCCCCTCTTCGTTCCTTCCCTCATTCCGTTTGTTCCTTGCCGAACCCGTAATTCCCCGGTCCATTCCAGATTATAATCTTTGCAATCGGTGAAACTGTAATCTTTATTCCCGTTTGTGACACTGTGAAGGCCTAAAATACGGGAACCAATCAGAAATGGATTCAAATTGTCTTGACTCTCAGTATAAAGGGACTCTAATCTTATCCAATGCATATTAAAATCATGGTTGTCATTACAGTTGGCGACGACACCCTGACGACGCACTCTGTGAGCCCTCAGCGCGGGAGCCGAATCCGACCATCGCAAAACGTGGAGGAGGAACCCACCCTGGGCGTCCAGAGCGTGAGCATCGGGAGCACCCAGAAGCAGGACCTCGAGGAGTACGTGAGCACACCCTCGATCGACGTGGACGCCACGAGGACGCGCGGCTTCAGCTCCTTCCGCCCTCCCCCGCCTGCCCCCGAGGGCACCGTCGAGATTGGAACCGGAACAGAAGCCGTCTCCCCCAGCAGCCTCGCTACCACCCCCGCCGCAGGCCCCAACTGGCGGGCACTCAACCAGAGCCCCAACTCAGGTACAGTCCACGATCCTATTTGAAAACTTAGGGACCGTCCATAAATTACGTAAAGCTCCTGGGGGAGAGGGGGGAGGGTCGAGGAGAGCATTACGCCATTTTGTTTTCACGTGTTCAAANGGGAGAGTACCGACAGATCGGTTCATGGAGGGCTTAGGGCCCAAAAGTGCAGCCACCCTTCTAACTAACTTCTAACGCACAAAATTTCACTGCCAGTCTGCAGATTCCAATTCTAGCCAAGATGGCCAAGAATGTACAGAAATGAGTGTTCTTCCGCGAAATTGAGTAAATTTATGCAAAAACTGAGTCAAACACGTGCTTAATAAAGGACGGTTCGTAACAATAGTATCAGTAAATCGCTCTGGATAATTGAAATTCATAGGTTGGCTGCCCTTATGGGCCCTAACTTTATTCGCGGAGGCATCGGTGAAGGCCTGATGGACTTTCGGAGTTTCAGATCTGTCGGTACTCTCCCTATACAGGTACTGTAGGTCAGTCGAGCCTCACGTAATTTTTAGGGGCTATAGCTTGAAAACCTAGAATATTCTGTGACAAGCTAAGAAAAACCTGAGCGCTTTTAAGAAAATTACGTTGGTTTTTTAGAAGAAAAAACGAGGTATGACAGGAAGTCTGCAAAGTCGCAAACAGCGATACGGCGGAGGTTCGCACTTTGGTCGTCGGATTTCCGCAGCTAGCTGTGCTTCAAGACAAACTTATTTTTAAAAATTTGATAATGTAATTGCATCAGTTTTTCAACGTCTAATATGACAGGCAGAACAACGCAACAAGCTAATACCCTGATAACGCTATTTTCATGTGTATCCAAAGCTTTAAACAGGTCTTGCTCAAAACAATAACGCTTTTGTCACTCAATGTATAATACGTGTCGATGATTCTTTAAAACTCCAGAAACTCCGTAACTTAATTTTTTCACGACGTTAGAAACCCACAGTTCTCGCTACTTATGCTGTGGAAATACGAATAAAATCAGATTCAAAACATCAATTCGTCCAACCATATTCGAGTGATAATGAATGTTCCACTAAGTACTTTCTCACTAACAGAATAGGCGTTTAAAAGAAAGAAGACGGGTGTCGGTGAATCTTTGATGTAATAGCGGCCAATAACCCGAGCACACCGGTCTCTTAGAGTCGTGATCGGTGGGTTATTTTCAAAATTGGAGGAGGAAGGAAGGGTCAATCAAAACTTGCTCAAAGACCTGCATTGTATCGGTAAAACTGCGGAGGCTTGATGCGCGGCACACAGGCCGTTGAACTGGTTGGTTTTGGCTTGAACGATCCCACTCATAATTTGCAACACGCGATTGTGGACCGGTGGATGGGAAAGGGGGAGAGGGAAGGTCCGAAAAGTTGCCCGTGACAGGAAAATCAGGATGTCGCAGAATTATCCTCTCGACTCCAGAAGAGGTTATTATCCTGTTCTGACCCTCTATTCCTCAGCGTCCATTGCCCTGCAGTATTTTGTTTTTTTACGTAGTAGAAAGGATGTGCCAATTTTCATGTTTATTTATAAAATTTATGCAGATACAGAGTTACTGAAATTTTGAATTTTCGCGAGGATCAACATTTGAGAATCAAAATTTATGACCCAGGAAAAATACGCTTTACAGTGGACGTAAAAAATGAGAAAAATATATCTTAGCTTGGTGGCATTAATTCTCTCTATATAAGATCTCTACGGGTAAAACTACGTCAACTATAAAAACCTCCACCAATAAGAGAAAAAAGGAGGTATTTGCATCTCGAAGATTTTTTACCCCGCGACGTAGGTCGGTACAGCATGGGCAGCAAAATCCGGAATTCGAAATATGAAAAACGGACCATTAAGTTCGATTTCTTTGCTTAAATAATTTCAAACACTTTATTTAAAATGACCTTTCCTTATGAACCACACCATTTCCAAGAAAATCGATGATGAAAGCCGCCCGTACCGACCTACGTTATCAAAAAAAGTCAAGATGCCCGAAATGCAAACACCTCCTTTTTTTCTCTATGAGAGCACACGGCACAATAATTGGACGGAAACGGAACTAAGCGCCAATTTGAGTTCCTTTTGAGGAATTTAGAATCCCGGATAGCGCGTTCTGTCAAACGGACCTAAGCGCCATGGAAAAGCATTGCGAGTATAGGACGGAATAAGCCGGACGCCCAATTCCGCCGCCAATCCAAGCCCCCCTCTACCTTCCTCACCCTATGGCGCTTAGGTCCGTTTGATAGAAATACGTCCAATTCTGAGATACACCCCTCTTCTGGCATGCTACTTTCCAAAGCAAGAGCGCCGTAAATCCATCAAGATTTTTCCTCGTTTTTTGGAACTTAACACTTTAGAAAATAAAAAGTGTTTTATCCACGCACTTCAAATTTTCAGGTTAAGTTCTTGATAGTATGTGCGAAAGAATTCTGTAAAAACATTGTCCCAAAGTACACAAGTTTTTCTGCAATGATACATTGTTTCCAAAAGATGTAAAATGGCGTTTACGGCGCACGGTGGATCGAGTCAATAGGAGGGGTCGGACAAAATTTGGAAACTTTAAACGCTTATAACTCCGTTTATACAAAACTTTGAGCTTCTAAAAGTGGTTCAACTGATTTCCTCGTGAAACTGTTTACTAGAAGCACCCCTCGACATTTAAAATGTGACGGGAAAACATCAAAATTTGCAGTTTTAGTGAAAAATGTCATGTCCGACCTCTCTAATTGACTCGATCCACTGTGCGGCGTTTGTAAGTTGCACGGCAGCATGATCCTCAATTTACCCCTTCATGTTGCAGTGACCGGCAGTATGCCCGACAAAGCCGCCCTGGACCTGTGGGCATACCTGCAGAAGACCCAGAACGACGAATCCAACAACATCATCGACGACGATCGCGCTCGCAGCGAGGACGGCAGCAACGAAGAGGTCGGTCCCGTCGTGGAGATCTCGCCATCCCTGTCCGCCTCCACGCCGTACCTGACGCCCTCCTCCACGCCCTCGCCCTCGCCCACCGCCGCGCCCACCACGACCACGACGACCGAGGCCCCCACCTCACCTTCCAGCACCTCCACGGTGGCGCCCACAGGGCGAGGCCGGTACCGCGGGTCTTTGACGGCCAACAGGAACCGCTTCAAGGTCTCCTCCACCGAACAGACGCCCCCCACCGAGGAAAACACCACGGCTCGCAGGAAGTTCACGCCCAGCCACCAGAGGGTACCTGGACAGGTAAGTGATCGGCCCTGGCCATTTGGAATCAATTCGGTCACATATTTTGCAATGAGGAACTAATTTTTCATGCATGTTCATAGAAACACCTCTTTGCTATGTAGATAAACTCATAGCACAATAAGGAACTTTTCTGACTCATTTTAGAGACAACGTTATTATGTGCCATAATTGTTCCGAATCAGATGGGTATTTCTATCAATGTGCAAGAAAAATAAGGTCTTCAATGCAAAATGAGGTTCACTCGATTTTTGAAAAAAGAAAAAAAAATGTTGACAAGTTTTTGAAAAGTCAGGGAAACACCGGTAAAATAGTAAATAAAGATAACCAAATAAGAGAGAGAAAACACCAAAAATTGGCTGCATGTAAGAAGATGATAAAATGGTGCTAGGTCCACAATATTTTGCGGGGAAAGTGAGGTCAAAAGATTCCAAAATTTTCAATCAGAGTGAAAAATTTCAGCCGTAATGAGTATTAGTATGAGACTGAGGAGGGGGAGGGAGTGTTGAGCTCAGGCAGATGCGCTTGAGCTGTGTGTTAGTGAGAAGTGAATATGGAGAGAATGCCCGTGGGGGTCTTTTTTGGACGCGATAAAAATAAAAATAAAAAAATAAAAATAAAAATCCGTTGAAAATCCAAAGCAAAATATTTTAAAGAAATTTTTACTAGCATAGCCTTTTTCTTCTCCTGATAGGTATCAGCGTACGGTCGCCGTGGGTCTAAGAAGACAACATCTGAAGATTCCAACACATCATCGACCGAAGCATCTCAATCAGCCGACGAAGCAGAATCTCCTAAACCATTCGGTAAGATTCTAGACGTACTTACGATCCGATAGCAGTGAGAAAAAATCCCGAATTACCAGATGTGAGCTGGTGTCAATAAAAGATCAAAAAATGGAATTATCCTTGAAATTACAGAAATTAAATTGCTGCAAATGAGCAGGGGTGCAGAACATTTGCAAGTCAACGATCGATCAGTCGCTCGCGAATTGCGTAGGTAGTGGAAACATTTTGTAGGCTACGACCTCGGAAAACATATCACATACAATGTATTACGTTTTGTTCAAAATACGCTAAATTTTTGCGTACGCCTTCCGAAGTTGTGCGTACGCTCGCCGTCCTACGCATTTTCAAATACCATATGCATCTCTGAACTTAGCACGATTCGCGAGTCAAGAACCAATAGAGAATCAGTATAAGGATCTGGTTTTGCCGCGCGCCGAGGAGACGACGCGATACTTGCACTTGCGCAAAATTCGAAGTTGGATGGGGCAAAACGCGTGATACAACTATTTCAACTTCAGAGTAGGTAAATTTGCGTATCCACTAAATGAAGGAGAATCTCTGCTCGGCGACCTTAGAGACTTTATCGCAGGAATAGGAAAGCTAAGTCGTCCGAAACGCGTGATACAACTATTTCGACTTCAAATCAAATACATTTGCGTACCCACAAAATGAAGGAGAGTCTTTTTTCGACCGACTCAGAGACTTTAACGCAGGAATAGAAAAATTTGATAGGACGAAACGCGTGATACAACTATATTTCAACTTCCCAATAGGCATATTTTCTTATCTGCAAAATGAAGGAGAATCTCTTATTTGCTGCCTCAGAGACTTATGAGCCTTTTAACGTCGTCAAATTTCCTTCAATTGAAAAATAATTCACTGGGGAAAATGTGAATATTTTTCTTCAAAATTGTCAGAAAATTTTGTGCAAACTTTATTCTAAAATATCTGAAAATTCCAAGAAAAAATATGCAACAATTTTCTACAAAATACATGTTTCATCCGGAGAAATTTGGCAATGGACCACTAGACAGGGTACGAATTTTAGCATTCTTATACATGTTTCTGAACCAAAATTTCACGTAGAATACGATTCGCGCAACAAAAGTTATTGAAACCAACTCTTAGCGAAGATATTAACGTTTTTATTTCACATCAGTTACGAGGAATTTGAACTGGCCGCTCACAAGAAACTCAAAGCTCTACGTGAGTCAAATCGCGCACCACAACGGTTTCAGCAAGCTTCTCAATCGAGCAATGTTAATTTCCTACCATGTGTTGTTCAAACTATGAGCAATTTGCTGTAGCTGAGCCAAAGCGTCAGGACTGAGGTTGCCAGATTTATATATCGCTGAGACGTTGATGATAACGTTTAGCGCGCGATGTGAATCACGTGGAGCATTGAGTTTTCATGAGCGGGTGGTTTCAATTCACGCATCAAGAATCATTAAATATCTTCTTGAGGAGTTAATTTCGGTAATTTTCGTTGTGCGTATCGTGTTCTACGTGAAATTTTGGTCAAAACATGTATCAGAATGCTGAAATTCGTACCTTGTCTACTGGTCCATTCTCGAATGTTCATACGCCGTTCTCCCTTATTTGACACGGCAATGTAGGCATCTTTATTTTTTCCCATATAAGTAGATTGGTACTTTCACTGATGAGCCGAAAACACTAGTTCTTATTGCAAAATGGGCGTATTAAAATCAAACATGCTGCAAACTATGTGCATAGGATATGCACGCCACATAGCTCCTCTCAGCATAAATACGTCCAAATTACGTCTTGTGGCTCAGTAAACCTAACATGTGAACCAATTAAATATATGTACAATTGGATCATTAACATTAGAAACTTTCTAAAATGTGATTAGTTTGAATAACTTTTTAAAACTTACAGGGAGTTCAACGAGAGGTAGATACCGAGGCTCTGGATCCAGAAACTCGGGCATCTCAACGACAACAACCTCTGCACCAGTGGCCACAGAAACACGAAGCCGACCAACTTTCAATGCCGACAGGTATGTAGCAGTAATGTACATTTATTCTAAAGCTGTTCCCTAGCATCTATGGCCATTTACACCTCTGTGGTTAGGGTTACAACGAATTTGGAATGTCGTTTATTACATGGGGGAAATATATTAATTGTTTGAATATACCTTCACCTCAATCCTCAAAATTATTGCGTTACCTCTCTATGTATGGCTTGTAGGGAGATAATTGTTTAAACACAACTAATTGTAGGCTAAGCTCTGAGCTTAGGAAATTGTCTCCTATTATTTTACAATGATATGTAATTCAGTAATATTTTGAGACAGTTTTTGTTGGAGTTTTTTAGCCAATATGCGTTATAATTTCAGCATAAAACTGAAAATTTCAATACAGAAGAACAGGACCGGATTCACCTACTTGCCGCCCATGGGCCGCCTGTATTTGGCCGCCCCCTTCTCATTCGTTTTGAAACATCAATAAAAACCATCAAGTGATCGTGCCGGAGGGGGAGGGGTGCAAAAGACGTGTTTACCTACTCGTGTTGGATAAATTTTTGCGAAAGCCTTGTCAACACTACTAGCAAAATTTCACGGAACTTGACGCGAAAGTGAAGTTCCGTAAACGTATCTTTGCGTGGGCAAGGTCCTCCATTAATAAGAAATGAACCAAAAAATTATGAAAGAACAAACATAAATGTGGTTTAATAATTTTAACTTCCGCCGCTGCGCCGCGCTGATCGCACTGTGTTTTGCGCAATGCGTGAAGTATTCATGCAGTCTTATAGGCGCTATGCGTTTCACGCCAACCGCTCCTGACCGCACTGTGTTTGGCGCAATGGGTGAAGTATTCATGCAGTCTTGTAGGCGCTAATATGTGTTATATACCGACCGCCGCGCCGAGAGCTTGTCCTTTTCATCTCAAGTCCTCGTCATCATTCCTCTCTGCGCTAAGCTCCAGGCCAAATTGCGTGTTTGGTTCCTCTATTAACTCGACTAAGTAAAGATGCTGTCTCTTGTATCACCGAGAAACGACAAAATTAGAAATTACTATACTTTCAGAAAAGAGAGAGTTTGTCCCCTTTTCTCATTGATAATTTTTTTTCCTGAATCCGATTTTTCTATACCTACATTTAAAAAAATTGCAAAATTTGCCGCCATGGGCCGCGGCCCATGTGGCCACCCCCTTAATCCGGCCCTGCAGAGGAAAAAAAGCTCAAATGAGCACAATTTTCCCTCAATGTTGCCTTCCTGAATGTTTGTAATCAGTATTGCACCAAACAGCATACCTCTTTGAGGGAAAATTGTGCTCCTCTGAACATTTCCCTCTGTATTGAGATTTTTATATTTATGCTGAAATTTTAACGCACGTTGGCTAAAAAACTCCAACAGAAACTGTCCTATACGACCCGTGCATCCACCGCAATTAGTTTGTGTAATATTTTGAGACATTTTATAGTTGCATCTCGTGAAAAGAAAGGTGATTCCAAGACACTTTTATGCCTTTACATTGTAGCGCCTTCAATACCTTGCACCAATAACATTATACTAGGCGAATAGATAACTATTACCGCTCCTCTGTTGCGCAAATCATATACTCGTCAATTTGAAGGCGTTTTAACAGCAAGCAATGAACAACTGCAAAATATCATCAGGTTTGATCCCAATATCGTCCTAAAATTATAGAACAGAGGAGTCTCATCATTGGTTCTAAGCCCTTTTCGAGGGATTCCGTTAAGAAATCTTTTGTGAAATGCAGTCCTAAACATTTGCAATCAAATATTTTCGAATTCTAAACTGACTGCAATGTTTATTTCTTCTTTTGTTATTTTTAGGTATAGCAGGCGTAAAGGTGCATCGAATTTGAGAGCTACGTCCACGTCAGCTCCATCAGAGTCCGAATCCGAGAACAAAGATGAATCCGGAAAGAAAGATGAAAATGAGTCCGAAAATGCAAGCTCCACAACTGCAAAACCAACCATTAGGTAAGAGTTGTCGCCTTAAGAAAAGCAAGAAAGTTTTTCCTGTGAGAAAGAGTTGAAAATGTCAGTTTTGACAGAGAAAGGCTAGGATGATAGTCGTTAAGAAAGAGGGATTGCCTTCTTTCGAGCTGTCAAATTTAATTTTTTTAAAAATAAAATGGCCAATATTTGGGCATTTTTGTATGCCAAGTTTGTTCGTTGAACCGTATGGTCTCGATTGGTATGGCAATAAATCCCCTCTTTAAGAGCCCTTTAAAGAAAACAAAGAAAGAAAACAAAGAGAAAAATCTATTGCTTAAGTTAAAAAATGCCTGATCTTCGAATTCTATGTTGCAAATCTTCATGTGTTAATTTTTTTCAAGCAAACCACCCCCAACAGTTTCACTGGAATTTTCTTCACTCGTTGAAACACACTCTCAGGAAAATCCTTGAGAATTTTCTGCTCCCTAATAAAAATTTAAAAAAATAAATAAATAAAATGAACATAATTGGATACTTTGAAACATTGAAATGGAGTTGCGCATTTTTCAACTTTAGTAATCGATATGATGATTGATGAAAAGTCATCAGATCGAGATAGCTGTGTAAACTAACTGTAGGCAGATGGAACTACCATAGCATCTCCGTTGATATACTTTAAATCTAAATCCTATTTTACTATTAATTATTCAATTTTCTATTTTATTTGCTTTAACAGGGGTAGAATCAACGTTGAAAGGCCATCCGTGCGCCCATTGAGGCCAGGCCCAAGAATCAGTTTAGGAGGAAGAAATCGTCTTCCAACTGTGACCAAAGCTCCAGTCGCCGAAGAGGCAGAGACCTCACCTAGTCCCAGTAGCACCGCTTCACCAGTAGCAGAAGATGCGCAGCCAAGCAATGGAGAGGTGAGCTTTTTGAATGTTCTTACCTTCAATTTGAGATCATTCGGTAAAGAACGAGTCGGTTATCAAGGTGTAAATGTGGTCCGTTTCTTTTCGATAAAATAAACAAATTTCAGAAATTTCGAAACACTGCAATGACGTTACGACGTTACGTGGTTACACTCTTAGCAGGGTTGCCACAAAATTTAGAAAATGAAATTCCCTGACATTTCCCTGATTTCCCTGACACATTTTGGTGAAAGTCCCTGACAATTGAAGATGTGACGGATGGTTAAGAGGGCATAATTGAAAATAGTTTTAAGGCAAAATTTGTTTTTCGAAACCTCAAACCCATCCTAGAAAGCAAATGAAGGTGATTTAACAAATTTTCCCTGACATATTTGTCATTTTCGTCATTTTCCCTGACATTTTTGTCATTTTCGTCATTTTCCGTGACATTTCCCGGTGTTCCCTGACTTTTTAAAATTCTCTGACATTTCCCGGTTTTCCCTGACTGTGGCAACCCTGTCTTAAGCCGGTATCAGACGATCAAAGTGGAGTCACGTGAGGTCACATGACCCCAATAAGGCAATAAGAGGACCAATGGAGGGTCACGTGACCCCACGTGACGCCATTTTGAGAGCTCTACTTTGATCGTCTGAAACGGGCTTAAAGGTCTCGATAGACGATCAATTCCCGAACCAATTACCATCAAAGTGTCGCGAGTCATCAGTCTTGAACTCATTAATTTGCTTGGTTTTAAAATGAAAACTTGGCAGAAATGTTTCCTGAGGCAGGAAATGATGAATGGTGGCACTCCATTCTGATCTTACTTTGAACAAAATAGTAAGACCCGTCAAAATTTGATGGTAGAAGGTCATCAGCATGTCTACTTTGATCGGAATTGGTTCGGAATTTGATCGTCTATCCAGGGCTTTAGACCAGCGATATGTTGATTTCCCCCGCTCTGACCCTTTGCTTTTACCCTGTTCGCAGACCCACGACGCCTCCAGCGAGGCTCCCGTGCCGAGCACAACGCCCGACGCCCTGACCCGGCTGCGCAACAGGCCCCGTCTCCACGTCCAAACGAACAAGAACACGAAGCCGGCCAGCCCAGCCTCAGCCTCGAGCCGCCGGCAGCTAGTCTCCGGCCTCCTGCCCAAGCGCCGCCCCAACCAGCCGGCCGCTGAAGAGCACAGCGAAGTTCCTGCCTCCCAGCCGCAAGAGGCCCCCGAAGAGGAGGCCGAGAAGAGGCCGGAGGCTGATGCCGTGGCCGCCAATCCCGCGGAGCCGGCCGAGCCCGCCGCCTCCTCCGAGCAGCCCTCGACGACGCCCGAGACGAAGCTCTCGTCGCTCATCGGGCGCCGGAGGAACCTCGCTCTCACCGGGAGGAGACCCGGCACCCTCAGGCAGACGCCCGAGCAGTGAGGGATAGTCACCCATGTACAAAGACACGACAGAAGGCTGTTTTAAGTTAAGGATCAACCGGCGGGCCGATTATTGAAACTGATCGACAAAGCTATAGACAAAGACGGAAAAAGGGATTCGGAGGAGTTGCGTGGCGTGCTTTGCGATATATCGATTGTTCTGCCATTTAAACCTATGGGAAAGGATCGATAAACAGGGTGTTCGCAGCGAACACCTTAACAATCGATTCTTTACGGTAGGTTTAAATGGCAGAACAATCGATACATCGCAATTCACGCCACGCCACTGATTCGGAGGGATCCTATTGGTGGAAGCGGGTGGTAGCAACGGACATAGGAGGTAGGTAATGGACTAACTAACGGCAACCCACCAAAGACCCGACGTTTGTAAGATCTCTTGTCAACCTCTGGTCACCGAACCAGTGGTCAGACTCTGACCAGCAGTCAATCTCCTAATCAGCCTAACTACTGGTTTGCGAGAAAAAACAAAGGTTGACCGGGACTTGACCCGAAGGAAACCGGAAGGCATAAACACCTATATCTCTGGTCAGCTCAAACCACCAGTTTGACAAGCACCGGATGGTTGTTACAGACTCAGGAGGAACATAATGGACTAAACATAAAGCTCGCTTGTGGGTTACCGATGGTTAGTCTATTCCTCCTGTGTCAATTACGGTCATACGTTCCTACAAATAGATTCGGCTTCACTTTCCCTTTGTTCTCTATGTCTATCACTTTGTCTCTATCACTTTTAATGATCAGCCCGCTGAAAGGCAACAGTCGGTCATCTTTGCCCTGATTCTAGAGATCCTCGCCAAGTCTGCTCGGCCTATGGCTCCAAGTTCTCTGGTCACAACATGGCAACAACTCAATAAATAATGCATTTCCGAAAGTCAAAGTTTCCACCATTGACGAAATACCAATGGAGGAACTCTATTTGAACGTATTTCTGCCAAACGGAACTGTGTGCATTAAAACAAGAGCCCTGAGACCCATAAGGATATATGCTGAACAGGGCTCACGTCATAATGCACATAGTTCCGTTTGACAGAAATACGTCCATTTGTCTCTGGGCAGGGATGATGCTACCCCGACCGAAGACCTTTTACACGAGTACTATCCAGACTTCGCATGAAAATCTCAAGGCGATGTTGCAGAGAGGCAATCTGGTTTACGACGAGGGTTTACTTGGACCACATTTTTCAATTAGGAATCACTATTCTTGGCTCATTTCAGAAACAATGTATGTACTATTAATTGTTCCACACAGTTATGTTGTTTTAGGGTTGAGTAAAAAATTGTAGTCCCTCATTGAAAAATATAATCCAATTATTGAGACCCGTCTTACAAGGCTATAAAGTTCACTTAAAAATCGCAGATAATTCGTTTTCGCTTTTTTTGGGTTGAACCAAACCTCCGAGTCTAAGTTGCATTCTAAATTTCACTAAAACGATAAAACACTTAAGTAAGTGACCTATTCAATCCTAAAAAAAACATCGGCTGTAGACAAATGTTTGAGTTTTGTGAGAACCAATTGTTGGAAATGGTCATTATACCAGTATCAGTGTTCATTTTCAATTTTATCAGGCGGTTTTTTTTAAAAAAAAAAAATAAAAAATAATAAGACCTTTAGACTGACCTTATAATATAATCTTGAGAGGAATACATTGAAAAGGTAATTATGTATTCATCTCTTTTCTTCGTTTCTGGATTAGCATCAAGAGATATCAAATGTGATAAAGATTTAAAGTAGAATGTAGTACGTCTTTTAACGGTAAAACAAACTAGTGAAACATCAAAATGTAATAGGTTTCGTGTAATAATGTAATTTAGCGTGATGCTCGTATAAATGAGTTATGATAATTTCCAGTTTTATATCACACAGTCCTTAGAACGTATTTAAGTAGTTAGAACTTCTACACACTGTGAACAAAAATAATTTTCCCATAAACTGCGCATGCGGTAAGATAAGTTGCAGGATTTGTTTGAAAGAGGATGAAACTCAAGTCACCAGAGGTTAAATCATGCAAGGTACACGCATTATTTTTCCTAACCACATTGGTACTTTATTTGCATCACCTGTGCAATAACATGGACGTGTTAATTTTTCAACCTCGATTTTGTTTAGTAATTAGGATTTAATTTTTTTATGTCAACAGATGTAATTTATAAATTGCCATATTGTATAGGTTTAATAATGTAACTATTAAAGAAAACTTTGTAAGTAATTAAGAAATAGTCTTCTAGGATAATGTAAACACTCGATTAATGAATGCAACTGATTTGTTATTTGTTAATGAATATAGAAATAATTTCCTCATCCAAACTTCCATGAACATTACAAGACAGTAAAATTTTCAACACGGCGTTTTAAAATATTCAGCATTTTCAAACTGTTTGTGATCGCAGAATTTCCGCTAAAATATCACGAATCATAAGAATATGAGCGCATATTTAATGCGTTAATCTAAAACTAACAAACAGATCCAACTTCCTGCAGCTGTTATTATAACTCTTGTTTAAATTTTGACTTAAGTTTATCTGAATTTTGACTGACATAAAACCAGAGTTTCGAGATTCACATTGCTTCAACTATTTAGAACTTTTCAACTGTTACACGTTGAAAATAATGTGAAATTCGTAATAATTTCAAAGACTACCGAAAATGTATGTAAAAGTACGGAAACTCCTAAGGCAAGGTTGTGTGTTTGTACAACAAAGTTTCAACTTTTTTAAGGAAGAAGCTGCGTGCCTGTCATAAACGGAGAGTAATGAAAGTGAGCCTTTAACTCCTTACACTTGAATGATTTTTACTGGACCATTGAAATTTCATCTTTTCAAATCAAAATAAATTAGGAAGTATAAAATAATGAATTGAAACTGTATGTAGGTAGAACATACGTTTAACTTTATGTGTAAATATTAATTTTACTTAAATAAAAATACAATAATTTTACTGAAAGTTGTGTTTCTTCTTTGAGTGGATCGATTTAAAGACTAATCTCTCCAAAAGTACAAGTATATAATAATACATACTTGATACATTCCAAAAAAAAACTGATCATTTCAGGACGGGAAACGCTGAAAAAAATGTCTTCTTAAGGTCTTATACAAACTTATCGAGAGCTATAAGGTTAAATTGGATTACATTTTGCAAAAAGGAACCAGGAACATTGCCATGTTGCGTTGCTGAGATTGTGCAACTTCACCCTTGCCAAAAAACTACTGTAATCGTGCAAAAATATGACATTTACATAGACATTTTTGTATAAAATTTACAGTTTTTAGCGTGTAAAATAGAAAATGTGTATAGATGATCAAGTTTTCTTCCGGGACAAAAGAAGTTACACAATCTTAGCAAAATTGCAATGCTCTTTAGTTCCTTCTTGCAAAATGCAATCTAATTATTATTCGCATGTTTGACACAACTTTGAGGTTGAATGCTTAAAACTAGTGAATGATATTTTAGTACAATGCCCTGGTTCTACACTTTGTACTCATCCTTGCTTTTGTTACGCATGAATTGTACAGAGGGCTTCTTGTATCGTGATGAACTCCAAAAGTCAATCTTCATTCGAAAATTTCTCCCCAGTTCAAGGACAAACCAATCATGAAATTTGTGTGTTAATTTGTCTGCTTACCTCGTATGGGCTGTATCTAGAAGATTATTCATACAAAAGAAAAATGAAACTACAGTATGATTTGCCAAAAATTACATTTTTTGAAAAGCTAATGCCATTCATTCAGTGTCTCCATACCCAATGTCATCAATTAGCAGATATGTCTTTTGGTGAATTTCATGTTTAAGATGGAACTACCAGGAGAGCTGAGCACGAGAATATGGTTTCTATATTTAATAATATTATTATTGGAGGGGATATGATAAAATAACCGAACCTGCTAAAACACGTGTGTTTAAATGAAAAATGCCGCCAGGTGTCGTCACAAAGCGGTGTATTTTTTCACTTTTAAATCTATTTTCCTACAATTTACCTTATCACATAAAAATTATGGAAAATACTGCAAACTCAAATTACTAAGCACTCTCAGATGAAGCAATAGAATTTGCACATGCAAATCATCCATGGTCTATAAAATTATTTAGCTGATCGTTGACGTGGTGTTCATATTTTGAAGTGAGCAAACATATTTTTTTTCTAAATGGTTTTTTTGCAATATTTTTCTGAAGTTTCATATCCTTAGCCTTAGCCACACAAGCAATGGTTCGCGGAACTTAGAACATTTCGCCGAACTTTCAGCTGCGCATCGTTTTTCGCCCCTTTTCTGTGCGCAGACGGAACTCAGCTAAAACTCATCCCGCTAAAGTTCCGGAAACTTTGCGTGCGTGGACTAAGGCCTAATAAATCAGAAATGTCATGACGCACTGCTACTACTTTTTCTACTGCTCCCAATGTTATGGACCAGCACTCTCTTCGCGGAAAATTTGTTCTGTGCTCACATTGGTTGGAATTGTCTATTATATTCGATCGTTCAAAATCCAGCGGTGAAACTCGGTGCCTGCGTCTATGAAGCGCCCAAAAACCTTGAGTGATACGAATACGAAGTAAAATTACCACCAAAAAAACGTGTAACACTTCGCAAAAAGAATAGATTCCGTTCCGTAATAGTCACTGAAAAAAATGAGTTAGCGTCAGACGACTAAAAATGGTTTCTATACACTAACTCATATTGTGTGATTTGGACACACATGATTTTTGGTTTCTGTACACTAACCACTANTGGTAACGCGTCGCGGCCGGCGCGGCGGCGTCCGCGCCGTGACTTTATCAACCGACGCTCGTTCTCTGCGCGTGGCTTCGTGCTTGGCGCCGATCTTGCCGCTATGTGAAAAAACCTGGTTCCATTTTACTTATAAAACAGAGGTTTGATGGAGTAGGGTATTTTTGGACTGAAAAATTGTGGTTGGGATCCTCTTTTCTCCTGAAATTTTGAAGTGCTAAAGAAAAGTTCTACACTGAAAAAAATGAGTTAGCGTCAGACGACTAAAAATGGTTTCTATACACTAACTCATATTGTGTGATTTGGACACACATGATTTTTGGTTTCTGTACACTAACCACTATTAGTGCTGGGAACTAATTCCGCTACTCTAATTCGCATTCGGTAGGGTTGGGTCAACCTAACCTCAAAACTGAGAGAGGAGAAAACGGCTTAGCGAATGATAACTGGACAATATTTTCAGGAAAAGAAGATTTCTTAAAAGATGAGAGGTAAAAATCAACTGACCGGTTCCAAATGAACGACAGAGGAAAGGCATATCCCATAGGTATGTGCAAGTAGACAGAATTATCCTTTAGAGAGACACACACTCACACATGAAACGGTAGCGAATGTTCACACTGAATAAACATATCTCGTCCGAACACTTGAGATATTCTTTTGAAATTACGGGAGAACACGAACTATAGAAGTAAGCAGTAAGTTCACAGATTTTCGTAAAATATAAACTGAACGCGGAACGCTTTAATCGCAATTTAATACAGAAGATTGACGACTCCAACGAATATCATGCTTGTTTACGTTTTGAATCGAACAGACGATTTCTAACCTTAACAGGTTTATTTAAGTTGCTTTCGAACGTTTTCAAGAAAGAGAGGACACTATAAATCATACCGGGAGTATTTACATTGTCAAACGAGCCCGAAATTTCACATTTTAATTGATTTTCACGAGCTGACGCGATTGAGGCTGTTGTACCGACGCCACTTTTTCGAAACTAAATAAATGTAACGGACAACGTGGCAGTTAGTGTTGAGGGCGAATTAGTTTGACCCGAAGGTGAATTTGTCTTACCACAGCGCTAATTTTACAGCTAGTGCTGTTTTCCAATTCTGGTTCGCGCTCTAGTAAAGTCAAGTCAGCGTATGAAGCGAATTGATCGGTGCTTCAGTACAATAAATTAGTTCTGAAGCCTAATTTTGATTCTACTTGGCGAGAACTTACCAAATTAGTTCTCAACGCTAACTACTTTTTTTTCAGTGTGTATTGACGGTAAAACTACTAGACACATATTTAGTTTGCGATGTTTTAAAATCTCCGTTCCTATCTTATTTTTTGAGGAGAACAAATCAAAATCATTTTTTAAAGTTTTCACAGAGTTTTCTTCGTGCAGAGAGGAAAGCTCACGGAAGTTATCAAGAATTGGCATGGAGTAGTTTACCATTTAAAAAATAAAGTATGACAGGAGGTCTGCTACGTCACAAACCGAGATACGTGGTCTAGCTTCACCGTCGTCATACCTATCACTCCGTAAGGAAGAATAGATTCTGCTCCGCATCATATCACCATAGGCGCATCTGTACACTTCGAATGGGAGGGGCGAGAGGGGTGTTCGGGGGCTTCCCCCAGAAAATTTTCAAAATATTAAAGCATCAAATATGCAGTTTCAGTCAATTTTGTCATAAATAATCACCAAATACATATGGACGTATTTCTGCCAAACGGAACTATGTGCATTAAGACATGAGCCCTGAGACCCATAAGAATACATGCATAACAGGGCTCACGTCATGATGCATATAGTTCCATTTGGCAGAAATTCGTCCATGTAAGCCTCGTACTTCTATTCTCTCTCCTCCTCCATTCCTTAAATCTTTCTTTTTCCCCCTTTTTCTTCCTCCTTTATTTGTGGACGAACGCGAGGGGGGGGGAGGAGATCGTGCGCCCCCTTTGCCCCCCAACTTGAATCTTCCTATGCATAGCACTTGGAGTTTTTGAGCGCTATACATACTCAGTCACAGAATTTCACTCCCCAAGTTTTAACATTGTACACATATCTTTGGTCTAAAATTGATGACTATACCTGTGAAATTATTCGGCACCGTTATGGCATTCAAGAAATCCATGATTCCATTGTAAACGGGCTCCTCCGAGGTACTGTGCCCCTCGCCGAACGCCAAACTCTCGACGGCACTCGTGAAATTGGTGGCCGTTAAAAAATCGCTCATTAATTGGAAGATGTTCAAGGCCGCGTCTGAAAGCTCGTTGCTCTTGAAGGCTCCCGATTGGGTGTACGGTGCTGGGCTGTAATTTTTGCTTTGCATGATCTGCATCGGCATTTTCAGTAGCGGAGGCAGCATTCGGAAGAGTGCCTTCAGGGGCTGCAATATCTTCGACACGGTGGAGATCAACGGTATCATCTGATCGATCGCCATCGCCTAAAAATTTAGGATGGATTTAGATTCTTGGATCTACAAACACTGATAAAAAATGTGTGTTCTTGTGTTACTGTCGGTTAATATAAGGAGTGAAACACATGACCAGCACTGGAAAAAAAACACATTGGATCTAGAGTCCAGACTCTTAAAAACATCGAAAAGAAAAAGTACTCTTGATTCAATCAGAATCTAGCTTAAATCAAGAACCAAGCCTCTTAATTTAAGCGGATTTCGTTTTGATTCAAGCAAAAATCCGATTGAATCAAGAGTATTTCTCCTTGTCAATGTGATCAAGAGACTGGACTCTAGATCCAATGAGTTTTTTTTTTTTTTTCCAGTGAACACAAATGTGTTTGGTACAGTTTGCGGTTTTAACTCAAAAACCAATAGAGAGGCTGGGAAAATGCATTCCTCTATCTAATTGCGACGTTATTACTCCCCATCCCCAATCATTTTTTATTGCATTTCTTCAAGAAAATTAGCTGACGCTCTCTTGGAATCGTCAACCTAAGGCTAGGGTTATTTAGTGTTTTACTTTCCGAATTAAACAAACTTTTGTGTTGACATTTTTCTCTGTGCAGTTCGATACTATTATAAAACGCGTATTGATTGCAGCGTTTCAAAATTCTCTGTTTGCTCTATTTCTTAACGAAAAATTAATGAACACTATTATCAAACATTTTGTAAAGAAAAAAAAAAAAAAAACCACACATTCTATATGCATACGTAATATGTTGCGGTTAAACTCCAAAATTCAAGCCAAACGCGTTAAGAGCCCATTCCAAGATGATTCAGATAATTGGCTTTTGTCCGGATAAACCGAGATGCACTAGGGCATATCGTAATTTGCCCTCGGCAACTTTCGGCAAATTGCAATCTGCCCGGAGGCATATCCATCGGCAAAATCATTTCAAGGTGTGCCCAAAACGCATTTGGCAACTCATGATTTAACTGTTAAGTTCGGACTTATCCCTTATCCCTTAGGGGCCCGAGCTGGGTCAATTTGACCTGAGGTAAAACCAAGCGGCCCGCAAGTTTTATGAGGCTAGCACATACGAGTTTTAGATATCCCAAAAAAGAATCAGGTATCAAATTGAAAAAAAGGAAAAGTTGACTGTCAATAACGCCGAATATAGCAGAGAAATATTCAGGCTTTGTTTTTTAACTCTTCTCCCGAATCTGAGCGACACCTCATTCGCAGCATAGAGCGGAGTAGTGCGAGTTCACGCCTTCACCATCGCGCCTTCAATTTTGCAGATGCAACACGGACATCCATCGAGTACGAATAGTTGTATCTCTGCGCCGTCAACAACGCGCGTCCTCTTCCTCGCTTTATTTTCATGATTCGTTGGTGCCGTTTGTCCTGTATATTTCTACTTTAAAGGCTACGTGAACAACACACCTAAAGATAGGAAATACGTAATCGATCTAGATTTTTTACTTTTTTATCGAATTCAGGAGCCTTTGTATTCTCCTTATTCTTTATCTGGTTTCTCTCAATACGATTTTCATAACCGAAGAATCATCACGGTTTATTGATTTAACTTCTATCACTATCAATTTCTGGTACCTATTGTTCATTTAGAGATATGCGAGTTTATAGAAATATTAGTACGGAATAGATCAATAGAAGGCCTAAAAAAATAGCCGAAAATAATTTGCATCAATTTTTATTTCAATAAAAATTGCCTCGAAAGGAAATACACTACTTAATGATGTAAGCTCGTGAAAAGGTTTGGAAAACTGCATAAAGTTTCCTCTTATGCTACACCAGATGAGTCATTTCCGAGTCCTTCACCAAAGTCTCTAAGTAGATGGATCACTTTTTCCGTATATTTTCCAAAGGCGGATTCTGCGAATTTCTTATTGTTTTGTACCTACCTCGGGCTTCTTACCTTCGTATGGTATCAAAATTAGGTCACTTGGCAAAAATAATTTTCACCGAACAATGTGATTCTTTTGAAGATTCACACACATCAAAGTACAAAAATTTGATTTTAAAATTATCAATTAAAACGACCTATTCATATGGAAAAAATTAGCACGTGCCAGTTTCCCGACGGTAGGATTAAGAGGGACTGCCCGCGCGAGAGGGAACCGGAAAACTTTAAACGAGCAGTCTTTAATCTTTCGCCAATAGCCAATCGTTTATGACCGACGTTGTGAAATCGAACATGATCGGCCATAGACCACCGGATAGGCTATAGGATACAGAATTAAGAAACAAAAGACGTGTTTCCTCATGAAAACTTCCACATTGATGACGTCTGATTTTTTCCAAAACTAACTCGTTAGTAAGACATTTATGTTTATTATGTTTATAGTAGCACATTAAAATCAGTTGACTCATACATCTTCCTTCCTTAAAAAAAAAAAAAAAAAAAAAAAAAAAAAAAAAAAAAAAAAATCTCAGAATCATTGTAAGCCAAACATGCAATCAATGAGAATAAACAACTGTTTGGGAGAGAAGACTAGTGAAAAGATCGAATCAGCACACTGAGAAAATTATTTCAATGTAAAGCACACCGGAATTTGCAGAGAGCTCATTTATTCGAACAGATTTTTTTTTTTTTTGGGGGGGGGGGGGGGGGGGCTTCTTTACAGATGAGGCATTTGGGAACACCTAATGTTATCTCCTGTTTCATGTGTTGATACTGGAAACGTTGGATATCTTCACCATATTTCACATGGAATTTTGTTGAGAGATTATGTCTAGTGAGGTTTGGTTTCTAATTCTGTCTGATGGTCCATTATTTTGGTCTGTGTCAAGAATTACATTTTACAGACATGGTAATGTTAACGTGAAGGAGGTTTTCTTTGTAAATTCCTTGCTGTATTGCATGTTAAAGACAGGGCCGGATTAAGGGGGTGACCACGTGGGCCGCGGCCCATGGCGGCAAATTTTGCAATCTTTTTTTAACGTAGGTATCACAAAAAAAGAGGAAAAAGTCGGATTCAAAAAATAAATTACAAACGAGAAAAGGCGACGAAATCTCTCATTCTCTGAGAGTAATAGTATGATGATTTTGGATGTTGCCGTCTTTTGGTGATACAAGAGACAGCTCCTTTAATTATAGTCGAGTTAAGAGAGAAATCAAACACGCAATTTGACCTGGAGCGGAGCGGTGCAGAGATCAATGATCACGAAGACTGAGATGAACAGGAGAAGCTTGCCGCGGTGGTCGGCATGAACCGCATAGCGCCTACAAGACTGCATGAATACTTCACGCATTGCGCCAAACAGTGCGATCAGCAGCAGTCGGCGTAGAAGTCGTGAAACGCGTAGCGCCTACAAGACTGCATGAATACTTCACGCGTTGCGTCAAACATAGTGCGGTCGGCGCAGCGCGATGTCGAAGACAGCGGCGGAAGCTAAAATTATTAACCACATTTATGTTTGTTCTTTCATAATTTTTTCGTTCGTTTGTTATGAATGGAAGGCCTTGTCCAAACGGGAATGTAGCATCGCGTCCATGATATTGGACTCCATGCTCAGCTATATAATGTTCGGTTGCTCATCACGTCCAAGATCTTGGACTCCATGCTCACTTTAATTAGGGATAATTTTTTCGAAAATTCGAAGTGAGCATAGCGTCCAAAATTGTGGGACGCAGGTATTCTCTGACAATAAACGAGCATGGGATCTAAAAATTTATTAGACAATTTTTGTGAAATAAAGACGAAAAAAGTGTTCTCGAAAAAATTATACGTTGCTTAGGTTAGGTTAGGTCAGGTCAGGTCAGGTCCGGTCAGGTCAGGTCAGGTCAGGTCAGGTCAGGTCAGGTTAGGTTAGGTTAGGCTTGGTTAGATTAGATAAGCGAAGTATACGATTTTCTATCATGATGAACTTTAAAACTAAGGGAGGTCTGCTTGCTTTTGGACTCCATGCTCAAGCAAAGAAGTGAGAAGTTTGGTGATGAGCATGGAGTCCAAGATCTTGGACGAGATGAGCAGGCAAGTATATCAAGGGTGAGCATGGAGTACTTTATCTTGGACGCGATGCTGCATAAAATCGTCCAAACAGGGATGGGTTGACGGAACTTAACTTTCGCGCAAAATTCCGTGAACTTTTGTTAGTGTTGACAGGGCTTTCACAAAAAATGTACCCAACACGAGTGAACGCATCTCATACACCCGTCCCTTACCGGCACGCTCACTCGATGGTTTTTATAGATCGTATTCGATACATCACACAGGTGAGATTATATTGATATCGATCGGTTCAATATGTAAACACAGCCTTAAAAGTCAATTTAGAAATCTGAGGTAACGGATCTTTTGTGCTCGATTTTTTATTCTCTCGAGTACCAAATGGCAATGAAAAGTGAAATTGTCAGGAATTTTCTCGTTTTCAACTTTTCCAAATTAAATCCTATAAGTTTTGTTTGAAGTTATGTTTTATTGTTTTGAACTCAACGATACATCGAACCACTATCGAATACGATCTATTGATGTTTCTAAACGAATGAGAAGGGGGCGGAAAAATACAGGCGGCCCATGGGTGGCAAGTAGGTAAAGTGGAAAAGTTCATCGTATTTTGATTTTTATGCTTCAAAGTCTGTGTTCGTTTTCGCATGTTTCCTTAGGAGACTGTTTTGTTTTTCAAATACGAATTGGAGGCAACGACTTGAAAAGAATGGGAAGGAGAAAAGTTATCATTTCACAGAGAGACGGTATGACAACAGCGGCATTGGCATGATTCAGTCCCTCCTGTACGGGTTTTATCCTTTGCTTTCATCCTTGGTCAATTTTCCCAACACACCATACGTTGTCGGTCCTAATCATGGAATTCGTCGGTCTTAAGTACATTTTAAGCACTCATTAACGTACAATTAACTACTTTTCCGAGTCTCTCAACGTGTGATACGTCGCATCAGGTTCGAGGATTAAAAATCGAAACCGATGAAACCGCAGGACAAATTCTTTCACCTTAGACATTGACTTCTGAGAAAGTCATTAACTTAGGTGGCGTATATTGTTTGTGTTTAAATGGACAAGAGTGAGGAATAAAATAACCCCCCCCCCCAAAAAAAAAACAAAAACAAAAAAAACAAAACAAACACGGTTTTGGATCGATTATTATATTTATTTATTTATACTTATTTCTTGCCTCCATCGTTCTTACCTTCATTTTATATTTGTCGAACACATGCAGATATTTTTTAACTTCTCTATCAGTGGGTCTTGTTTTAATTTTTTCATGTTTTTTATTCGTTAACCTTAGCCTGCCAAACAAGTGATGGTTAGGCGTATGATACAAATCGACGGTGAAAGTCTGCAATCACATAACTCGTTTGCGGTGTCTGAAAATATCCGCCTCTATGTTATTTTTTTAAAGGAGAACAAATTGACATCATTCTTTGAAGCTTTTGCAGAATTTTCTTAGCACAGTGAAGAAAAATCACGGCAGTTTTAAAGAATTGCCGTTGAGTAGTATTCCGTTTAAAAAATAAAGTATGACAGGAAGTCTGCGACGTCGCAAACCGAGTTATGTGATTGCCGACTTACACCGTCGAAATGTGTTGCGTATCGAGCTGGCATTTTACGGACCATACAGACGCGCAGGGAGTACTATTTGCCTTGCTATTAAAATGTACCCGATGCCATGTTACTTCAAGAAGAAACAAAATGCAACCACCTGCTGTGTGCACCTGCCTTAATAATTGTGACAAATAGGTTTTAAAAAAATTGTGATTTCTGTGATTTCATCATTTTTCTTGTATTTATTTATTGGAGGATGAAATAGGAAATAGTCTAAAATGCATCCTCTCTTAGTAAATAACTAACATATCGACGGTGTAAGTCGGCAATCACATAACTCGATTTTTAGCGGTTTTGAGTAAGCTGCAGAAATGAAGTGTAGTAAATGCCCTTTACCTGCTATCAAAATATTTCAGTCGAAAAAAATCTGGAAGTCACCTCAAAACGTAGAACTCAAAACACATATCGACGGTGTATCGACGTCTCTCATTTTGCCCAAAAATATGTATGCATAAAATTGAAGGCATCATGACTTTCCTCTTTCAACTTATATTCGTCTGTATCGATAAACAACGGGACGCGGCTGCTACGGCGCCTTGATACAACTATACAACCTCGACGGATGTCCGTATTGCGTTCAAAAAATTGAAGGCGTTTTGACTCCCTGCTCGTACTACCTGTAGTTGATTCGATCGACAGACGCGTTGGTCGGCGGTGACGGGGACTTGATGCAACTATTTAAACTTGATGGATGTCCGTATCGCACCGACCGAAGTGCGAAACCAATGTCTGTGAAGTTAGCACCTTGACTTTTAAAATTTTATATTTTCTCTTTTGCTCATCATTGCTCATCATTTGCTCACCTCGACAATCGCTTTCATTTTTTTTTTGCTCGGGCATGTGCCCCCCAAAAATCGAACTTGAACTTTCAGAGTGGTCATTGACCTTTAGCACCCCCACTTCGTCCGATTGACCTGGAAATGGTTTCAAACGACGCAGAATCATTTGCTCACCTTTGCTCAGCCCTTAGTTTTTGTTGCTCACCCCTCCGTCCCCCCCAAAATGAAGGGCGGCATTTTGGGAGACATCAAAGGCAGCACCCCCACTTTGTCCTTTTGAGCTGAAATTGGTGTCAAACGACGCAGGGTCATTTGCTCATCTTTGCTCAGCCCTTCGTTTCCGTTGCCCGAATCCTACCTCCTCCCGAAAACGAATGGCGGTTGCGAACATAGTCGGTGCGCTCCCTTTGATGTGCGCCAAAATGCCGCCATTCGATTCGGAGGGGAAGTGGGGAGTGAGCAACGGAAACTAAGGGCTGAGCAAACGTGAGCAAATGATCCTGCGTAGTTTGACATCCATTTCAGCTCAATCGGACAAAGTGGGGGTGCTGCCCCCAAAATGGTGCCTTTCATTTTTGGGGCGAAGGGGGAGATGAGCAACGAAAACTAAGGGCTGAGCAAAGGTGAGCAAATGATCCTGCGTCGTTTGACACCAATTTCAGCTCAATAGGACAAAGTGGGGGTGCTGCCTTTGATGTCCCCCAAAATGCCGCCGTTCATTTTGGGGGGGAAGGGGGAGGTCAGGAACGAAAACTAAGGGCTGAGCAAAGGTGAGCAAATGATTTTGCGTCGTTTGTGACCATTTTCAGGTCAATCGGACAAAGTGGGGGTGCTAAGGTCAATGACCTCTCTGAAAGTTCAAGTTCGATTTTTGGGGGGTACATGCCTGAGCAAAAAAAATGAAAGCTATTTTCGAGGTAAGCAAATGATGAGCAATGATGAGGAAAAGAGAAAATTTAAAATTTGAAGAGTCGGGGTGCTAACTTCACGGACATCCTTAGTTCCACAAACACATAACTCGGTTTTTCGGTCATTTCTGCAGATAGACGAGCATATTATTCAAAATGATGAGAGTCTTATAAAGCATCTTATGCTTACTGTCTCTAAGAATTATTTCCTCTCTACCTTCAAAGATGAGGAATGTAGGTAGAGTTTTTTCCCTCTCCTGAAAAATCGCGTTTTCCGAGTTAAGTGATTCCCGACTCACACCGTCGATATAAAGAAACATGTGTGTAATGATGAAGGGTATTTTAATCCTACCTCTCCAATATTCTTTGGATATTCATACGAATCCTTGTAAAATGGTGATATTACACAACGAAATATGTACAAAGTTAGTCGGTACCAAGTTTTTATTTCGAAAACAGCAGTTACAATAATTTGAATCAAGATCCAGGAGTCATTTTTAAGCAATAAACGCTTTGATTATTTCAGTAATAATCGACGTGAAGCAAATCCTAATAGCTGAAATAAGAAAAAATTGAATTTTGTGGGCAGCACATGGAGCCAAAATTACATCAATGGAAATTCAGTTCTTTGGCTTTAAAGTATTAAAAGGAAACTTACTTAACTCATGGAAAATTGATATAGGTAAATAAACCGCATGACATGAAACAACAACATGGACTTTTGCTTATTTACACGCGCTCATTTCTTTACTAAAATAAATAAACCCTACTGTTACAGAGGGTTTGAGCTGAACGTTCCTCCATTGTAAACATTAAACGAGTCTAAATGAAAAATGAGCCGGATCCCAGTCTGACATCAGTGTGAAGTTAGACTGTTTTTACTTTCTAATTTGACTCCTAATACTCACTTTACCATTTTCAATATCCTTAAGAGAGTTCCTCTCTTCAATGATTTTTGCTTCACCAATAAGCGTTAATGCGTTTTATTATGTAAAAGGTGCTCCGAACTTAAAAATGAAAAATGTACGAGGGAAAACTAAGTTAGTATCTACACATCATAATTAAGGATATCACAGCCTTGACAGCACAACTACTAACCTCTGAGTCCACAAATCTGAGTAGGCCAAATTTTTCTATATTTATCGACGGGCTCAACATGCATGATTTACGACGGTTGATTCATAAGTTTTAAAGAAAAATTTTCATGGAAATCTTAAGATGATTATAACGTAAGATAACTCGTTTTTGTTGATATTCTCCATTCAAGAACGCAATGCGGAGTTATTCTGATTCAAACTCTCAGCTAGCATCAAATGCGAAACCGTAACAAACATCTAGCTCTATCTTAAAGCTCCTTGTGTGCGATACGTCATCTTTTGTTTGAAGCCACTCAAAAGCAAATGCCTGAGAGATGGTAGGAGTTGATACGTATGATACAACAACATCTCTACGATACATAAATTTGCAAGAGAAAATTGGCGCCCATTGCTCCGTACAAAATGCACATGCGAGAATTTTTCGGAAAACTCCAGAAGTTGAGGTTGTAATGGTTGGTCGGGTATTTTCACGTCATGTTGAGGTCTATCTCGCAGTAAATTATGGATATAGTCCAGGATTTGAATCCAAGCATTATTATGCATGGTAATCTCATTAAAATTTTTTGCCAAGAACGACTTCAAATATTTCATTTAAGTATTAAAGTTCTTGACTTGTTTTGTGTGCGAAAATTAAAATCTTGCACTCATTAAAAGACCTAAGCTGAATTTGTTTGAAGGGTAACTAATAAACAATATTCCTCGAAGTGTTTCCTAACTTTTCGTCACACTACTCAGAAATATTCTCAGTTAATTTCAAACAGGAATATTAGTTTGTAGTTCATTAAAAACTTAAATTAACATCAGAAACTTCATAATTTCGCAATCAACTTGATACCCGTTCTCCGACTTTCACTAAGAAACCTGCCCCTGCGGGTCGATTATTGAACCTTATAGACAAAGCGATAGACAAAGAAGACATAGGGAGTATGGAGCGATCCTCTTGGTTGACATGGTTGGTTCTTATAGACTAAGGAAGTAAATGATGGACTAACTGTCGGGTATTTAATGGGTTGCCGTTAGTTAGTCTATTATCTACTTCCTATGTCCATTACCACCACCTGCTTCCACCAATAGAATCCCTCCAAATCCCTTTTGTCGTGTTTGTCTATAGCTTTGTCTATAAGTTTCAAAAATCGGCCCGCCGGTAGAGCAAATTTAACCACCACGAAGTTTCTAAGAAAAAAAATTCAGACCCTCCTTAGCAATCTTTTGGTCACATACCTCAGTGCAGTTCTGAAGCTGAACTAAGATACAACCATGTACAACCTCATGTTTCACCATCGTGGGTGGGTTTTTTGAGAGTCAGCATGTATTATTTAATCTAAAGTACTGACAATGCTACACACATTCTCAAACCTTTCTTTAGATAAAGAAGGTAAAAAAATTATTGAGATGGTCTCTTTGATGATGTGGTGGTAGACGGTCATAGAAGCCTCACCTTGGAGAACTTGGAGGAGGACATTAAGCAAAGCCGAAGAGCGTTTTTTTCCTTCAAATTTTGAGAAAGTTGATCAGTAAATCCACAGATATTTGCACGCACCCAACCTTTGGAGCCCGTTGACACAGCGAACTCTCCTCATTTCGTCGAAAAAAATCTCCCAGACTACGCAACTCGACCCTGAAATCTTGACTAGATACACGGTGCGGGGACAGTCTTCTGCTTCTCCAGAGATGCTCTAGAGGTCGGTCTTTTCTCAGGTTCCTCCTCCGCCTCCTGCCAGGCGGTAGGTGGAGGTGAAACGGGCTCCGTCTTGACCTGCACCTTCTCCGCTGGGGGCTGACTAGACTTGTCCTCCTTCTGCCGGAGGGTGGCGAAGACCTCCAGGGGAATAGGGATGGGCACAGGAATCGGCACGGGGACGGGGATGGGCAGGGCGACGGGGTAGGGGATTAGCACCGTAGGAGGGGGGAGCAGTTGGCTGGGAGGGGGTGGAGGCGGCACCAAGGGTCGGTTGATCGGTAAGAGAGGCGGAGGCAGCCGCATAGGGCGGTGGAAAGGCGGGAACATGTGCGGGAAGGAGGGGTTGAAGGGCGGCCTAGGCATGGCCTCGGGGTTGAAGGGCGGCCTATGTAGGGCTTCCGGGTTGAAGGGTGGCCGCTCGGGGTGGGGGTTGAAGTTGAAGAAGTTGTTGGGAAGTGGAGGCGGCGGATTGACTGGAGATTCGGCCTCGGCCTTCTTCCGCTTCCGGTTGAGGATCTCCTTTCGGACCCGTAGGTTGATGCCGTGGTCGCTCGTGGTTGGGGTAGCGGAGGATGGAGGTGACGAAGGGGTGGAGACCTTGATCTCTATTAGGGGTGAGGGTACACATGGAGGTGTGGGCGGGGAGGGTGGGTGAGGAGGCGGCGAGGGTGAGGCGGATGGGCTGGAGTCCGACTCGCAGTCCCGGAGCCACAGGTCCGGCGTGATGAGGTTGGTCGAATTCGCCGTTTTGGTTTTCGTTGTCTCCGAGCCTTGCAGGTGTGGGTGGAGGTCCAGGTGGGCTTGCGTCTCGCGGCAGAAGATGTTCATCTTGTACTGGTTCAGGCATTTTCCGCTGCAACATGAGTGGAAAGTTTTAGAAATCAATGCCGATCATAAAGGAAGAGGGAGAGGGGAGAGCTTTCAAACGTACTAAAATCTGTCGATAGCCGAACGGCAAAGTGTGACACCACGTTCTATGATCGCAATGTTGTAGGTGGTGAATGCACAGCTGAAGTGCGCTCCAGCTAGGATTGTATTTAGCAAATGGGTGGTTTTTATACGAGGATTAAAAATAAATAAGTGATACGGAATAAAACAAAAGAATATGAACTATGCAAAACGATAATCCGAGTATCGAAACTTGGCTGATTTGAAAACGCCTTCAAATGCGGCGTGATACCTCACGCATTCTGGAGAGTTCAAATAGTTGTATCATTGCGCCTTAGAAATGCGACGGAAAATTACAATTGAAATAGGCTCCATGCACGCTGGGCTTGTCGATTTCCTTTGACATTTTTGCAGTGGTGATTTTAGACTTCCTGTCATACTTCGTGGTTTCCTTGAAAACCTAGGCAATGTAATTTGACTAAAATGTCCTTGATTTTTCTTCTCCATTAGCAGAGTATTCTGTAAAACTTTCAAGGTATAAAGTTGGTTTGTTCCTCCTGAAAAAATATGATAGGAGCAGACATTTTGAAACACCGCGATGGAGATACGCGGTGCCGCACTTTAGCCATGGATGTAGGTATATAGTTTGATGGAAATCATATCAAACTATGATCAAACGAATTGAAAATCGTTGACATATTTTATAAATTGAGATATAATTCACGTTTAGTATCATTAACGAGATAAAGCGTTTCGGTGGATGAAAACGAAGTTTTCATGACGGCGATTGTTACAGTATCAAGATATCGACAATAAGCAATATAGCAAGGAATATTGATCAAGCGGGTTTTGTTCATATTTGTGCCAGATAGGGCAGTAAGTTGCTCTACATAGAAAAATGACGAAAATTAGTGATGCAACCTTCATAGTTCTTTTTAAACCTATTTTTTACTTCAAAATCTTTTATTCACCTTTATTCTATTGAAAAAACACGCGAGTACAACTGAGTCTAAAAAGGAACTAAACATTGATTGAACATGATTCTGCGGATATTCGTACAGATTCCGTTACACAAGTACGAGTCAGTGCACTGCCGTGCTGAGGAAAAACGCCGTATGAACCTTCAGACGTTGCCATATTTCCTTATCTAAAAACCTAATTTACTGGGAAAATTGTGAATGTTTTTCTTCGATTTTTTCAGACAATTTCGCTCGCACTTTGTCTAGAATGTCCGAAAATTTCAAGGAGAATACGCATAATCTTTCTCAAATATACATGTTTTATCCGGAGCGGTTTGACAACTCTCGAATGCTCAGACGGCGTTCTTCCTTAGCACGGCGCACAGTGGATCGAGTCAATGGGAAAGCTCGGACAGAATTTGGAAACTTAAAACGCTTATAACTCCGTTTATACAAAACTTAGAGGTTCTAAATGTGGTTCCATCGGTTCCCTCGTAAAATTTTCTTCTTAGAGCACCCCTTGAAATGTAAAGTATGACAAAATAAACATAAAAATTTGTAGTTTTAGTTTAAAATTTCGTGTCCGACCTCTCTAAATGACTCAATCCACTGTGCGGCGGTGCAGAGCCTGAACAGGATGCATCAAGCACCGATTGTTGCCACCTCAACGATTGAAGGCGCTATTCAAGAGTCTTGCCGTACCGGTTTTGGTCATTCGTAACAAAACCTTGGCAAGTAGTTGTGAGCAGCTTACTCTGCCTTCTCATGGTCCCTATAGGATTTCAGTATATTTAAGTACCTGCAAAATTGTAGCTGATGGTCGCCATCCTGGAAATCTACGTAGTTTACTGTATGCCGAACGTGTTTGCACCAATCACATGTTTTCTTCCTTTTGAAGCTGGCCCTGCGACACTGAGTGAAGCAAACCTCCGAGCAGAATGATTTGTCTCCGTTGACAGCTTTGAAACTAATCGCTTTCGACTTGACAACTTTTTGGCACCAGCCGCACGCTACGTATCCGTTGGGAATGACTGCTGGAAGAAAAGAAAAATTAAAAATACGAGGGATCGTAAACATAGAATCGAAAGATAGACACGTGGACTTGGAAGACAAGTAGGATAAGTACAGTTTCTGATAAAATTGAAATATCAATGATTTCGACTGGAACCGGTTTTAAAATACATTCAGTGAAAAATTCATACCACTAATCCAATTTTTAAGCATCAAAAATTGAGGTTGAAATTTCTTTCCGCCATAAAGCTCCACGTAATTTCAAAACTTTGAGCACGCTTTTCTTGAAATAGCAAAAACTGCACTCATTCCACGTGTCCTTCAAGCCTCTCAACTAAAAAACCTGGAGAAAAATTCTGCTTGCATCAGCAATTGACTGTCGGTTAATAACACTATTACCATTGAACAGCACTTTTAAGGGACATCATAAAGCGATCATGGTTTGATATTTCTAAAATCATGATGCCAAATGAATCCTTCCAATGACGTCACTTCCATTCTCCTTGCCGCCCTCAATATTTCCCGATCGGATCCTTCCAGTGACGTCACTTCCATTCTCGTTGCCGCCTTCAATATAGCGTCCAGCTCACCTTCAAACTAGGGGCTTCAAAGAGGCTCATTGATGGAACTGTTGACTGTTGCCTTTCAAAGATCGTCAGCCCGACGATCTTTGAAGGTGCCCGATGTGTCCGGGATACATCACAGATCAGATCTTGAAATTTTCAAGGAATTCCGTGCAGAAATGGCTGAGAAATTGAAGAATTGGTGCCAGTTTGAGAGCCCCAGGAAAGTGGGCTGGACGCTAATTTCCCGATCGAATCCTTCCAGTGACGTCACTTCCGTTCTCGTTGCCGCCCTCAAATTTTCCCGATCGAATCCTTCCAGTGACGTCACTTCCGTTTTCGTTGCCGCCCTCAAATTTTCCCGATCGAATCCGTCCAGTGACGTCACTTCGATGCTCGCTCCTTCCATGGACGACCAGAGACTCCACCGAGCCCCGAGAGGGGCGAGGGGCGGGGGGCGTTAAATTTAAGAAAGAGGCGTAATTCGAGCGAGCCGGGAGTGTTGCGTTTCCGCGCGGCACGAAATCGCGAAACGGGATACTCAATTACCGCGGAGGTACTGAAATTACGTACCCGACGTCGCGCGCCGTCGTCGTCTCGTAAGCTCGGTCAGATAGACGAGCCGCTCATCTCCGTCGACGTCGCGGCCTCCTCCTCCTCCCCGTCTTTTACTCCTTTTTTTACCCATCCCCCATTCGCCCCCCTCGCCGTATTTACGAATGTAAGCGTTTTCCGTGCGCGCGTGTGTTCGCCCCGGCGCGTAATCCAAAACGCACCCCCCCCACCCCATACCCCGGTCGAAGACGTCGCCCCTGATTGTGCAGGTATCGTGTGGATACAGGGTGATCCCGGATCGGGTTCCAAGGTTTCAGGAATTGGATTCGAATGATACTTTTTTGCCACGTGATATTCGTCGTTTTCCTCGCGAAAGAGCGTAACTACAGTTCAATGTTGCCAAATTCCCCTGCGCAAATTGCGCATTTATCAGGAGAATCTTGGGAATTTCTGACTGAAAATTACACTGATTTTTCCCCAGATCCTATGCAAAAATTAGCAAAATTTGATAAAAATCGCACGCGTACATGTTTGAAAATAAATTACTTGTTTGAGTCAATTTGGCAACCTTGGAATGAAGTTACGTTCCTTCGTCTGGGAGACGACGATTTGTCGTTTTCCTCACGAAAGAGCGTAACTACAGTTTAATGTTGCCAAATTTCCCTGCATAGATTGCATTCTTACTAGAAGAGTCTTGGGCATTTCTGACAAGAAATTTTACCGATTACTCTCGATGATCTCATGCGAAAATCGGAAAAAATTTGGAAGAAATTTGCATGGATACATTCTTGTGAAAAATTCAGTTCTTTGAATCAATTTTGCAACCTTGGAATGGAGTTACGTTCGTCCTTCGTTCGGATAACGACGATTGGACCGTATTTTGCAATCAGGAACTACAATTTCTGGCTAACCTGTAAGCACCTATTTTCATGAGGAAACTAACGACATAAACGTTGTTTCTAAAATCCCTGGTAAAAATTGGCGATAGGAGCTGCGTTTCAAAATACCATAGGACTTCTTAAAGCCGACTAAAGAGGGCTATTGAAAATCATATAGCTGGCTGTAGAAAGCGGAGCAAATCATATAGCCGGGCTATACGAAGCTATAAAAAAGTATACAGTCGGGCTATAGTTCCTATCGCCGGGCTTTACACTTTATCGCCATTGGCTATAAAAGGCTATAAGAAATAGTGTAGAAATTCGTGTGCTTTGGAAATCATTAAGTTTGATACGCAACTACCTTAATATTTACAAAACACACATTATATTTTCCTTTAAAACATTTTTTTATTCATCAATTAAAATGAGAATAATCCATACAGAGTGTGCAAACATTTCAAAATCATGAGTTGAAAAACGCTGACTCCGCGAGACTAAATATTAGAACCTAACACGAAGCGGAGCGAGCGGCGACGCACTGGCGCCTACAAACCTAACAGGGATACTTTACTCATTGCGCAATGCGTGAAGTATCCCTGTTAGGTTTGAAGGCGCCAAATCGCGTTTCGCGCTCTCTGCACGCCCGCCGCGCCGCAGCGTGCCACGGCATCTGAAGCAACTATAATTCACACCAGATGTATTGCACAGTATCATAAGAAATTGAAGGCGCTCCAACATATTAAGAATGACAGGCATCCTTCAAAAGTACGGAGCTTTCCTCGGAAAATAAATCAAGATACTACGGCACAAAAAGAGAGCGGTAGTCCAAAAACTAACTAAGTCCTAGTATCCGTATTTAGTAACATTTAGCATAAAATGTATCGTCTGGCTGTTGCTTAATCGCCATCGGCTATAAAAGGCTAGAAGAAATTGTACAGCCGGCTACAGAAGCTATTGGAAATCTTACAGCCGGCTTTAGGTCTATGGTATTTTGGAACACAGATTCTACTGCCAATTTTTACCAGGGATGACCCATAATGGTGGTTCCATATTGGATATGTAGTCCATTTGAACCTCGTTTTGTGATGAGAAGCCATTATTTCTGGCTTACCCTTAAAAATAACCTACCTGCAATTGAGGGAGCTGATGGCACTTACGTTGTTTATAAAATTATGTGAAACAGTGGCCCCTTGTTTGAAAGATGAAACCCATTTTTTCAAAACGGACTCCTATTGGAATTACGCCCTGGCAGCTAGAATATATACCCTGTGGGTCCCCAAATGTTGCCAAATTTTCTCCGATAATTAATTATTATTCAGAAGTTCCAAGGTTTCAGGAATTGGATTCAAATTATACTTTTTTACCGAGTGATATTTGAACCTCGTCATGCGATGATAAACAATTATCGGCCTTGTGCAAAAAATCACTTATCTGCTATGGAAATCCGGTGGCCCTTACGTCGTTTCTAAAAAGAAGGGAAAAAGTGACTCCTAGGAAAATGAAATACATTTTTTCAGAAACCGACTCAACTCGGACTTACATCCTGGCGGCTGAAGATAGCACCTTCTCCAAATGTTGCCAAATTTTCACATGGGTGGTTTTTCTTAAGCAGAGACCTGATAATTTTTCATTTGATATTATTTATTTACGGGCAGAGGCGGATCCAGCAATTTGGCATCACCGAATTTCCTCCATTTAAACCTATGCTAAATAATCGATTCTTGTCGGAGCACCTGGCCCCTCCAAGAATCGATACATTTCCATAGGTTTAAATGGAGGAAATCCGGTGTTGCCAAATTTCTGGATCCGCCAATGATTACGAATATTATCCATCCCCGCGCGAAATCCATCGCCTCCCCCACGGCCGAAGACACTGCTCCTGCTTGTATGCGTATGGTGTAAATACAGGGTGATTCCGAATCAGGATTCAAGATTTCTGGAGTGCGATTTTTTTTCAATAAAAATTGTGCTTTTTACTTTTACCAAAACTAGCTTCCCGTAAGAGCTACGTATTCATGACTTAGATGCTCTGAAAAATTCAAGGGCAAAATTGTCAAGCCATCTGTGAGAGTCGTCGAGTTTCACCGGTGGCAGTCAGTGGCGTGGCGTGCTTTGCCATCTATCGATATTTCCCCACTTGAAACTGCGGTAAATAATCGATTATTAAGGTGTTCACTGTGAAAACCCTGTTAATCGATACTTTTCCATAGGTTTAAATGGCCGATCAATCGATATATTGCAAATCACGCCACGCCACTGGTGGCAATCAACTTCCGAATGTTCCCATTCACAAGATTATCTTTCTTGGCACAGAATTCTTACAGACCCGGAGTTTTGGCCATCTAATTTTTTGTATAAAATAAGCTCTACCTTTATTTTGGATATATTCTGTAAAAGCTTATCAATTAAAAACCAATTTTTAAGCATTATAAAGTAAGTTTGAAATTCCTTTTCGCCTTGGGCTCCATGTAATTTTGAAACTTTAAATATACGTATATCTTGAAATAGCAGAAACTGCACTTATTCCACTCCACTTGTCCCACAAGTCCCTCATACCGTCGCTCCCCTCACGAAAAAACGAAACTACATTTCAATGTTGCCAAATTTCCCCTCGCAAAATTCATTTCTACCAGATGTAACTTAGGCAATACTAACCGAAAACTTCACTAATTTTTCCTTTGATTTTATGCAAAAATCCGACAAATTTCAAACAAAAATTGCGCATTCATATTATTTTAAAAATTGTATTTGTCTTTTGCAACTTTGCAATGGAGTTACGTTCCATCGTCCGGAAATCTATTATAATTATATGAGCTAGGAGTAGTGATGCGAAACAGGGTGGCATGAAACGTAAGAAAGAAATGAAAGATTGGAAATTTCAGTGTAATATTTCATGAAATTTCACGAGGCTGTGAAATATTTCATATTTTTCAGGGGCCAGAGTATGCAGCCCGCACTCAAACACACAGAAATAGAAGAAAGTCACAATATTTCCATTTTGTGAAACCTGGAAAGGAAAGACCATTA